ACGCCACTGGAAAGATCCTCGCATTTTCAGTGATTTCTTAATTCGAACTTAGTGAAATGCAATTTGTCAAGCCCAAGTGCTATAAAATTGCATCTTTCATGCTATGAAGGCGTTTTGTGGGAGCATTTCCGACGTGACACTGAAGGAAAAGGGAGATTTCTATTCTGCTAGAATAGTACTTTCTCCATTATCTTCGTCAATAAAAAAGTCATTGATTATAGTTGGGTTTACAGTTATAGGATATAAAGCAACAAGATCACATCATCCTGATACCATTCATTCAACTTCTGTAGAAGAATTGCCATACATTCGAGAGGCGCACAGTCCAGGGCCGGATTCACCTACTTGCCGCCCATGGGCGGCCTTTATTTTGCTGCCCTCTCCTCATTCGTTTTGAAACATCAATAAAAATCAACCGGGGGAGGGGTGCATAAGACGCGTTTAGTCGTGTTCGACACATTTTTTGCAAAATCTCTGTCGGACATGAAATTTTCGACTAAACTGCAAATTTTGATGTTTATTTCGTCACATTTTAATGTTCAAGAAGTGCTTGTACCACGAAAATTCACGAGGAAACCAATGGAATCACTTTTAGAGCCTCGAAGTTTTGTATAAACGGAGTTAAAAGCGTTTAAAGTTCTCGATTTTTGTCCGACCTCTCCTATTGACTTGATCCACTGTGAGGCGCTGAGAAACCGACATTTGAATTAACTCATCGAAGGAGTTCAAACTTTTAAAAAATTGAAAAAACTTATAACGTGCCCGTTAAGACTGCCAGTTTCAGTGCCAGTTTTAGTGCCAGTTTCAGATGCCAGTGCACTCTCTCCACTCGAAAAATAACACATTGGATCTAGAGTCAAGACTCTTGAAAACATTAACAAGAAAAAATACTCTTGATTCAATCAGATTTAAGCTTAAATCGAAAGGAAATCCTCTCAAATTAAGAGGCTTGGCTCATGATTTAAGCTTAAATCTGATTGAATCAAGAGTATTTTTTCTTGTCGATTTTTTTAAGAGTCTGGACTCTAGATCCAATGTGTTTTTTTTTCCAGTGTATCATTCTCCAACATGGCAGCTGACCTCCTTCCTCTATGGAAAAGTAAAACATTTGACAGATACTTTTCATCCGACAAAAGTGGCAATATTTTGACACAAATTCCAGGCTTGATTGCACGGGTGAATCCGTAGCCCGAAAACCACTTCCGGCGCGCGCCGCAGATAACGTGAGTCGGTCGTTGAAAACCAGATCGGCAGCACGCAGTATCCGTTGCGAAGATGATTTCAGTTGGCGGTCTTTTCAAAGCCAGGAAATTTCCGACTGGAAATGAAGTCAGCCTACGATTTCTAGAAGTTCTCAATTTTCAAAATTTCGTTGGTTTCGTGGCATAGTAAAGTGCTTCTTATATCATGGCCGGCAGGAGTTGTTTTCAGGTTAGTAAAGTATTGATTCTGAATCATGATTATTCAATGTTTAACAAATGAACCGCGTTTAATAGAAAGGAACTAAGCAACATCAGCTATTGCCAATTTTAAATGGGCAATATAATTTTTTAGGAGTAAACGTTTGTGCGGATCCTTTTGAAAGTGTTAAGGAATTTGCTTCGTGCTGCGGAGAAAATTCACTGAAATTAGCGAGAAAATCTGCACAATTGTTTCCATGTAAAAAATTAAATTAGCCAATTTTTGGCAATAGCTGATGTGGTTTGGTTCCTTTCTGTTTAACGCGGGCCAACAGGAAATCATTTGGAAAATTTGGCATTGCAATTATTATAATACAAATTAACCAATGAGGTAAGAGTCGAAAGTTTTAGATGGGCGCGTAGTATCAAAAATGCCATAAATTACTCACAGAGGGGGGGGGGTTACTTGTGGAAAACGGTCACTTTGCTAAATGTTTACAATAATAAGCCCTTCTTACAAGGTAAAAATAATAGATGAAAATGAGGATCTGCTGTTGTTCAATCATTTCAATTTCATTCATTTTGGTCGCTCGTATTCAATCACTTTAGGACGAAAATTGAGCTTTTTTAGACGAATCGACACCACTTTGCATCCCGATCTTATTGATTTTTCAAAATTGCACCACATCCTGCAAATTGCAGGAGGTTTTCCGACAAATGCATTGGTGACCCCTTCCCCTCCCCCAGCCCAACTTTTAGTTCCTATTTTCAACGTGTGTACAGGGCTAAATAGAGGGAGTGATTTTAATTAACATGCTAAAAGGTAATCGATAACCCAAAGTCACGCATTATATTTAATTAAAGAGCTGAAATTATCACCAATGACCACAAAGTTCGTTCGTATTTCAAGCATGTGACGAGAGTATGTGGTCACACATAGGATACATAAGCAAAACAGCCATATACTGCAGGGACGTGATCGTGACCTAGGACTCAAAATAAGACTTTTTCTCCCATAAAGTTTTTTTTCCAAAAGCCTCCTCAGTTGGATCCCCCAAATTTTCGGAAAATCATCGTTCAGTTTGAAATATAAGCGAGGATGATGGGCCAAGCTTCATGAAAAATGGATCCCACTCAGTAGCGTGGCGTTAATTGCGATATATCGATTGGTATGTCATTTAAACCTATGGAAAAGGATCGATAAACAGGGTGTTTGCAGCGAACACCTTAATAATCGATTCTTTACCATAGGTTTAAATGACAAACCAATCGATATATCGCAATTCACGCCACGCCACTGATCCCACCGTCGCATTTTTAGCGCTCAATTCATCCATGGTCATCAATCGCCTCAAGAATATTGAAATCTTCAGTTTAAGCAGAGCTAGACGCAGCCCTCATAACAGGAGGGAAAGAGCAGAACAATATAATTTTCACTAATGTTTTTACCAGACTTCATCGTGCTTTATTTTAGTTTCGCCATTGCATCTATGAAATAATATACCTACATTTACTTAGGCTTGGGATATTACAGACTTCCTGTCGCAATTCATAGTTTCGAATGATGAATGGATATCGTTTTGAAAATTTTGCACTTAAACTTAAAAATTAGTTTTCCAAAAAGGAAAAAAATCCGAACAAAGAATGACTTATGAAAGTACACTGGGAAAAAACACATTAGATCTAGAGTCCAGACTCTTGAAAACATTGACAAGAAAAAATACTCTTGATTCAATCAGATTTTTGCTTAAATCAATAGGAAATCCGCTCAAATTAAGAGGCTTGGTTCTTGCTTTAAGCAAAAATCCGATTAAATCAAGAGTATTTTTTCTTGTCGATGTTTTTAAGAGTCTGGACTCAAGATCCAATGTGTTTTTTTCCAGTGTAGATTAAAGGGAGCTCTGAATATCATGCTCAGATACCTAACTTTTTTGCCTAACTTATCGTTGCAATACTAGATGTGCGGTATTACGAGTAGAGAATAATGCATATCTCGAAAAATTGACCATGTCGAGATAAAAATCAGTGATAGTCTTCATCGAGACGATGGGCAACGTTGGGTTTAATTTAAGATGTAAGAGGTACAATCCCAGCTTCAGTCAATGTCGCATTAGTTCCATTAAAACGCCTGGATGCAACTATTCAAACTTAATGGATGTCCGGATTGCATACGCACGGTTGCGAAGGCGTTTTGACTTCAAGATACGAACCGCCACACCCGCGGCGCTCAGAGGAGGGAGTCAATGAGAGAAGTTAAAAAAATTTGGAAACATTAAAAGCTCATATCGAAGTAAATACGAAACGGAGAGGTTTTGAAAGTTCAACAAGTTGAAAGTCATTGAGTCTTTCGTGAAAGTTGTTTTGATAACCTCTGCTGGGGAGATAGGCAGATGTGGCTTCAATTTATCCTAAAAACAGCATCTTCATCGGTCAAAAAGTGCCTCTTGACCTGAAATAACTAAATGGAACTCTCTAAAATCCCACTTTAACTTGAGATTCCTATATTTTGAGGTATGAATTATGGACGTATTAAATCAAAAGGCGAACTATGCCCATTTTGACTCGAGCCCTCTTTTGCATGTATTCTAATGGGTCTCAGGATTCACGTCAGAATGGATATAGTTCCTTTTCATGTAAATACGGCCAATTCTACGCTACAAAATATGCGAAACAGTCATTTTGCATAAGTGTCAGTCCATAATTGTCATCGAGGCTCTGGAAAAGCGATGATTTTTCCGAAAATTTCCAGATCACATTTCTGAGTGGGGGTACTTTTAAGGGAAAAAACTTCATCAAGCGGAAAAAGTCTTATTATGATCTATAGAGTACGAGTACGTCTCTACAATTGAATCATTGAGAACGAAAACACACCAAATCAGTATCTCGAAATTGCTCTCTTTTCACTAAAGACAGACAATTTTCATAAAGGTCATTTACGTTACCGTATCTGTGCCAACTTGGACATTTGGAGTTTCCTTAAATACTTGTTTTTAGGCACCAAAAATCTTTTTATTACAATTAGACCAACTTCTCCACCTAATATGCAGTTTTGTGTGTGTCTTGATTATTTTCATTTTTTCGAGTTGGTGTGTTTCCGTTCTCACTGATTCAATTCTCCAGTCTGGTCGTTTAAGTATAGAGGACATCCCATAATATAAAAGAGCTACAGGGTGTCCCAAAAGTCCCTTCCATCCCCTCTAAAATTTTACCTAATTAATATTTTGAAACGAAACTTTGGGGATGTTCATCGATCAATGTTAGCTACTTTTTGGGCCCCCCCAAAATTTTCGGGCCCCCCGTGGGGAGGGGCTGCGGACTTCAACTTTTTTTTTCAAGTAGCAACCCCTATCTTGTGATACCTCATTCGAAAGAACATGAAAAACTAAGAATTTTGGCGCAAACCGCAGATCAATATCTTAATTTTTGACCGAGTTATGATAGGTCAAAGGTCCAATTTGACCTATTTTCTAAAAATCATGACTCGTTTCAAAATATTAATTAGGTAAAATTTTAGAGGGGGTGGAAGGGACTTTTGCGTCACCCTGTATAATAGGCCTCATTGGTGACTTAGGCTGATGATTTTTTTCCAAGTCGGAACTAATTCTGAAAATCCTCCTATCGGCCTAGGGTATTTTTGAGGGTATTTTTTTCAGATGGAGGCTGACACTGGGACGGAGAGGCGCTCAGACGGTTCGACGGGGCCTGGACTGAGGCGCGGTCTGAGTTTCTCCAACACTTACGCCGCGAAGAAAACTGTGGCTCAGGGGATGATGGACATTGCACTCATCACCGCAAACGCGAATCAACTCCGATATCTGCTGCGCTTCAACCACAGTTCCAGCACGTTCACGGTCATCCTGTCTCTCATCATCTTCAGCCTCTTCCTCCAGGTTNTTTTTTGTGTCAAAGCGACGTGCGATATATCGCATCGATTAGCTCCATAATTTCAGCTACTTGTCATTTGCTTCAAATTTTAAGATCGCACCTCTGTTGTCATGAGACTGCAGAACTCATGTACCAAATTTGACAAAGAAATTCAACGTAATAAAGGCGTGGTTTCTTTAGAGAAAAAATATCGCATTCGACACTGATATCAAAACTTCACTCGAATGCGATATTTTCCCTCTAAAAAAACCACGCCTTTATTACGTTGAATTTCTTTGTCTTTGGTACATGAGTTCTTCAGTCTCATGACAACAGAGGTGCGATCTCAAAATTTGAAGCAAATGACTAGTTGCTGAAATTATGGAGCTAATCGATGCGATATATCGCACGTTGCTTTGACACAAAAAAATGGCCTCCATCGAATCACCTTAAGTAGAATATTATCAAGGGGTAAGCATTACAAGCGCACATTAGGAGAATAACAATATACGAGGAATATAAGCGATACAAATGCACGAAAAAAATATGATATTGCTGAGTTAACAATTTTGTGGTTAAAACAAGTGTCCGGCATTTTTTGATGTACATTTCACAGTAAAAAAAAAAAAAAATGCTAATTTAACCACCCCTGTGGATAAATTTGCTTTCCACTATGGTAAAATGTACATTTGAAACAAGTCGGACATTTTTTTTTAACAATTTAATTGTTAAATCAGCAATCCATTTTTTTTCCGTGTGATTAGCTCAAGATCTAATCAGTGTTCTCACTTAATATTTTTAGGTACATATTGAATAAATTTTGGAGCGTAACTGAAGAATATCGTGCTCCTACACAACTTTATGGGTCGTTATGGGGGTGTATGACTTACTTTGTATTTTGAAAGAGAGGTCGCGCAAAGATTAGTGGCGTGTCGTGCTTCGATATATATCGAAATTTCCCCATTTGAAGCTATGGTAAAGAATCGGTTATTAAGGTGTTCGTTGCGAACACCCTGATAATCGATCCTTTCCCACAGGTTTAAAAGGCAGATCGATCGATACATCGCAAATCACGCCACGCCACTGGAAAAGATCCTCGCATTTTCAGTGATTTCTTAATTCGAACATAGTGAAATGCAACTTATCAAGCCCAAGTGCCATAAAATTGCATATTTCATGCTGAGAAGGCGTTTTGTGGCAGCATTTCCGACGTGACACTGAAGGAAAAGGGAGATTTCTATTCTACTAGAATATTACTTTCTCCAATATCTTCGTCTATAAAAAGAGTCAATGATTATAGTTAGGTTTACCGATATAGGCTGTAAAGCAACAAGATCACATCATCCTGATACCATTCATTCAACTTCTGGAGAAGAAATGTCATAAATTCGAGAGGTGCACAGTGGATCGAGTCAATTTGAGCGGTCGGACATGAAATTTTTTACTAAACTGCTAATTTTCAGAAGGCAACGCGCATTAGCGCCTACAAACCTAACTGTGATACTTCAAGCATTGCGCAATGCGTGAAGTATCCACTTAGGTTTGTAGGCGCCAGTGCGCGTCTCGCGCTGATAGCACGCCGCACAGTGGATCGAGTCAATCAGAGAGGTCGGACATAACATTTTTTACTAAACTGCAAATTTGTATGTTTATTTCGTCACATTTTAATGTTCAAGAGGTGCTTGTACCACGAAAATTCACGAGGAAACCAATGGAATCACTTTTAGGTCTTCAAAATGTTGTATAAACGGAGTTATAAGCGTTTAAAGTTCTCGATTTTTGTCCGACCTCTCCTATTGACTTGATCCACTGTGAGGCGCTGAGAAACCGACATTTGAATTAACTCATCGAAGGAGTTCAAACTTTTAATTTGAAAAAACTTTTAAGGTAATTCGATGGACGCCATATGTTGCGTCAGAACGGCATGCGATATATTGCATCAATTGGTTCCATTTTTTCAGCTACTCGTCATTTTTCACCAATTTTGAGATCGCAATTCTGTTGTCAGGAGACTTAGCACTCACTTACGAATTTTAACAAAGAAATTCATCGTAATAAGGGCGTGGTTTTTTTAGAGAGNCGAAACTGCACTCGAATGCGATATTTCCTCTCTAAAAAAACCACGCCTTTATTACGTTGAATTTCTTTGTTAAAATTGTTAAGTGAGTGCTTTAGTCTCCTGACAACAGAATTGCGATCTCAAAATTGGAGAAAAATGACAACTAGCTGAAAAAATGTAACCAATTGATGCGATATATCGCATGTCGTTCTGACACAACATATCGACGGTGAAACTACCAAACCACGTATCTCGTTTGCGGTGTTTAAAAATCTACGCTCACATTTTATTTTTTTGAAGTAGACCAAATCAATATCATTCCTTGAAATTTTCACGGAATTTTCTCCGCACAAAGAGGAAAAATCACAGAAATTTCCAAAACTGGATGTTAAGTAGTTTTTCATTTAAAAAATAAAGTATGACAGGAAGTCTGCGACGTCGCAAACCGAGATACGTGGTTTGGTAGTTTCACCGTCGATATGGCGTCCATCGAATCACCTTAACGTGCCCATTAAGATTGCCAGTTTCAGTGCCAGTTTCAGATGCCTGTGCAGACTCTCTCATTCTCCAACATGGCAGCTGAACTCCTTCCTCTATGGAAAAATAAAACATTTGACAGATACTTTTCATCCGACAAAAGTGGCAATGTTTTGACACAAATTCCAGGCTTGATTGCACGGGGGAATCCGTAGCCCGAAAAACCACTTCCGGCGCGCGCCGCAGATAACGTGAGTCGGTCGTTGAAAACCAGATCGGGAGCACGCAGTATCCGTTGCGAAGATGATTTCAGTTGGCGGTCTTTTCAAAGCCAGGAAATTTCCGACTGGAGATGAAGTCAGCCTACGATTTCTAGAAGTTCTCAATTTCTCAAAATTTCGTTGGTTTTGTGGCGTATTAAGGTGCTTTTAATATCATGGCCGGCAGGAGTTGTTTTCAGGTTAGTAGAGTATTGATTCTGAATCATGATTATTCAATGTCTAACAAATGGACCGCGTTTAACATAAAGGAACCAAGCAACATCAGCTATTGCCAATTTTAATTGGGCAATTTAATTTTTTACGAGTAAACGAAGAAGCGGATCCTTTTGAAAATGTTAAGGAATTTGCAACGTGTTGCGGAGAAAATTCACTGAAATTAGCACGAAAATCCGCACAACTGTTTTCATGTAAAACATTAAATTGGCCCATTAAATTTGGCAATAGCTGATGTGGCTTGGTTCCTTTCTGTTTAACGCGGGCCAAATAATCTCAACAGGAAATCAGTTGGAAAATTTGGCATTGCAATTATTATAATACAAATTAACCAATGAGGTAAGAGTCGAAAGTTTTAGATGGGCGCGTAGAATCAAAAATGCCATAAATTACTCACAGAGGGGGGGGAGGGGGGGGGTTACTTGTGGCAAACGGTCACTTTGCTAAAATTTTACAACAATAAGCCCTTCTTACACAGTAAAAATATTAGATGAAAATAAGGCTCTGCTGTTGTTCAATCGTCTCAATTTCATTCATTTTGGTCGCTCGTATTCAATCACTTCAGGACGAAAATTGAGCTTTTTTAGACGAATCGACACCACTTTGCATCCCGATCTTATTGATTTTTCAAAATTGCACCACATCCTGCAAATTGCAGGAGGTTCTCCGACAAATGCATTGGTGACCCCTTCCCCTCCCCCAGCCCAACTTTTAGTTCCTATTTTCAACGTGTGTACAGGGCTAAATAGAGGGAGTGATTTTAATTAACATGCTGAAAGGTAATCGATAACCCAAAGTCACGCATTATATTTAATTAAAGAGCTGAAATTATCACCAATGACCACAAAGTTCGTTCGTATTTCAAGCATGTGACGAGAGTATGTGGTCACACATAGGATACATAAGCAAAACAGCCATATACTGCAGAGACGTGATCGTGACCTAGGGGTCAAAATAAGACTTTTTCTCCCATAAAGTTTTTTTTTTTCTAAAAGCGTCCTCAGTCGGATCCCCCAAGTTTTCGGAAAATCATCGTTCAGTTTGAAATATAAGCGAGGATGATGGGCCAAACTTCATGAAAAATGGATCCCACCGTCGCATTTTTAGCGCTCAATTCATCCATGGTCATCAATCGCCTCAAGAATATTGAATTCTTCAGTTTAAGCAGTCGAGCTAGACGCAGCCCTCATAACAGGAGGGAAGAGCAGAACATAATATAATTTTCACTAATATTTTTACCAGACTTCATCATGCTTTATTTTAGTTTCGCCATTGCATCTAGGAAATAATATACCTACATTTACTTAGGCGTGGGATATTACAGGCTTCCTGTCGCAATTCATAGTTTCGAATGATGAATGGATATCGTTCTGAAAATTTTGCACTTAAACTTAAAAATTAGTTTTCCAAAAAGGGAAAAAATCCGAACAAAGAATGACTTATGAAAGTACACTGGGAAAAAAACACATTAGATCTAGAGTCCAGACTCTTGAAAACATTGACAAGAAAAAATACTCTTGATTCAATCAGATTTTTGCTTAAATCAATAGGAAATCCGCTCAAATTAAGAGGCTTGGTTCTTGATTTAAGCAAAAATCCGATTAAAGCAAGAGTATTTTTTCTCGTCGATGTTTTTAAGAGTCTGGACTCTAGATCCAATGTGTTTTTTTTTCCAGTGTAGATTAAAGGGAGCTCTGAATATCATGCTCAGATACCTGACTTTTTTGCCTAACTTATCGTTGCAATATACTAGATGTGCGGTATTACGAGTAGAGAATAATGCATATCTCGAAAAATTGACCATGTCGAGATAATAATCGGTGATAGTCTTCATCGAGCCCATGGGCAACGTTGGGTTTAATTTAAGATGTAAGAGGTACAATCCAAGCTTCAGTCAATGTCGCATTAGTTCCATTAAAACGCCTGGATGCAACTATTCGAACTTAATGGATGTCCGGATTGCATACGCACGGTTGCGAAGGCGTTGTGACTTCAAGACACGAACCGCCACACCTGCGGCGCGCGGCGCTCAGAGGAGGGAGTCAATGAGAGAAGTTAAAACAATTTGTAAATACGAAACGGAGAGGTTTTGAAAGTTCAACAAGTTGAAAGTCACTGAGTCTCTCGTGAAAGTTGTTTTGATAAACGCTGCTGGGGAGATAGACTGATGTGGCTTCAATATATCCTAAAAACAGCATCTTCATCGGTCAAAAAGTGCCTCTTGACCCGAAATAACTAGTTTGGAACACTCTAAAATCCCACTTTAACTCATTGAAATTCCTATATTTTTAGGTATGAATTGTGGACGTATTAAATCAAAAGGCGAACTATGCCCATTTTGACTTGAGCCCTCTTTTGCATGTATTCTAATGGGTCTCAGGATTCACGTCAGAATGGATATAGTTCCCTTTCATATAAATACGTCCAATTTTGCGCTACAAAATATGCGGAATAGTCATTTTGCATAAGTGTCAGTCCATTATTGTCATCGAAGCTCTGGAAAAGCAATGATTTTTCCGAAAATTTCCAGATCACATTTCTGAGTGGGGGTACTTTTAAGGGAAAAAACTTCATCAAGCGGAAAAAGTCTTATTATGATCCACAGAGTACGAGTACGTCTCTACAATTGAATCATTGAGAACGAAAACACACCAACTCAGTATCTCGAAATTGCTCTCTTTTCACTAAGGACAGACAATTTTCGTAAAGGTCATTTACGTTACCGTATCTGTGCCAACTTGGACATTTGGAGTTTCCTTAAATACTTGTTTTTAGGCACCAAAAATCTCTTTCTAACAATTAGACCAACTTCTCCACCTAATATGCAGTTTTGTGTGTGTCTTGATTAATTTCATTTTTTCGAGTTGGTGTGGTTCCGTTCTCACTGATTCAATTCTCCAGTCTGGTCGTTTAAGTATAGAGGACATCCCATAATATAAAAGACCTACAGGGTGTCCCAAAAGTCCCTTCCACCCCCTCTAAAATTTTACCTAATTAATATTTTGAAACGAAACTTTGGGGATGTTCATCTATCGATGTTAGCTACTTTTGGGGCCCCCCCGTGGGGAGGGGCTGCGGACCCCAACTTTTTTTTTTCAAGTAGCAACCCCTATCTTGTGATACCTCATTCGAAAGAACATGAAAAACTAAGAATTTTGGCGCAAACCGAAGATCAATATCTTAATTTTTGACCGAGTTATGATAGGTCAAAGGTTAAATTTGACCTATTTTCAAAAAATCATAACTCGTTTAAAAATATTAATTAGGTAAAATTTTAGAGGGGGTGGAAGGGACTTTTGGGACACCCTGTATAATAAGCCTCATTGGTGACTTAGGCTGATGATTTTTTTCCAAGTCGGAACTAATTCTGAAAATCCTCCTATCGGCCTAGGGTATTTTTGAGGGTATTTTTTTCAGATGGAGGCTGACACTGGGACGGAGAGGCGCTCAGACGGTTCGACGGGGCCTGGACTGAGGCGCGGTCTGAGTTTCTCGAACACTTACGCCGCGAAGAAAACTGTGGCTCAGGGGATGATGGACATTGCACTCATCACCGCAAACGCGAATCAACTCCGATATCTGCTGCGCTTCAACCACAGTTCCAGCACATTCACGGTCATCCTGTCTCTCATCATCTTCAGCCTCTTCCTCCAGGTTCTTCTTGCGTCTCGTCGCATACACTGAAAAAAAAATCTCGGTGTATTTACTAAGATAAGGGTAAAATTACCAAGAATTCAGGGTTCTATTTGATCCCAATTTTTTCTTGGTAAAATTACCATTCATGGAATTGGTAATCTTACCGAGAAATCTCGGTAAAATTATTGAACTTTCTCGGTAATTTTACTGGACCTTGGTAAAAACGCCAATATTTTTTATCGACTATGGCAGAATTACCGAGATAAAATGGCAAAGTTACCGAGAATTGATTACCAATAAAAGTGGTATTCTTACCTGAAAAAACAGTAAAAATACCAGTTTTTAGGTAAGCTTACTAGTCTGTCTCGGTAAAATTACCAATAATTGGTAAAAAAAAGTGAGATGGTAAAGGTACCAACGGACCTTGGTAAAAACGCCGATAATTTTTTTTCAGTGTAATATATACTTGCCCTTGACCAAAAGCCCTACACGGAGACAAATTTTTTGATAAATCAATACGAACTTGAATTACTAATTTCCAGATGAGAATTTTCGTCCGGTCAACAGAAAATTTCCCTAATTCAAGCGGTATTTTAATTACATTTCAAAGTGACGTTCTGTCACGTTAAAGAGATTTCCATTCACTCAAAAAGAATTCTCGTCCAGGAATGATTAACTGGGAAATTTTTATTAATGTGGAGCTTGTTCAGACAAAGATGTGTACATATACAGGGTGTTTTCGAAAAAAGAAGCCAGTTTGAAATATGCAGTTATAGAATTAATACCAAAGAGAAGTATACAATTACCTATTATATCGTTACTTGGCCATGCCAACTTTTGCATTGCCACTCCCCGCACTCCCCCTCCACTTCTCTCAATAATTGAACATCCGATTATCGATATTTTTCCATTTGAAGCTATGGGAAATAATCAATTACTAATTAAGGTGTTCGCTGGGAACACCCTATTCATCGATCTTTTTTCATGCGTTTAAATGACAGATCGATCGATACATCTCAAAGCACGCCGCACGATACTGTTTACTAAGTTGCTATCCATTATTTAGCGACGATTAAGATATAATTTTTACATTTTCAGGTTTTGGTCGGAGTTTGTCTAATTTTCAAGGGTAGATGCGACCTCAACGGCGATTCGAAGTACCTCCAAGCAAACCAACTGAACAACTTCATTGTGCTGGCCGTCTTTCTCGTAACAGTCATCAACGTCTTCATCGCAGCATTCACCGAGACTCCTCCAACCTCTACACACATTCTATGACCCGATACATACATATATTTCTTATGTAACTCTTCTCTCTTGTTTATTATATACATCGATTCTTATAACGATTTCAAACTTTTAAATATAAGGAAAAAAGTGTACAAACATAAACTTAGAACGCAATTGTTAGAGCAGCCTGCACCTTCCTTAAAAATTATGTTGCGTTTTGTCCTCCCTCCCCCCTTCCCATGAACGTAAAATAACAGCATCTTAAGTTAACATTTATACCAAAACTATCAATTTTTTTGTAAAAAAAAAAAAAAAAAAGTTGTAACACAAAAGGGTCAAAGAGCGCGCCCATATCGAGTAAGAGTAATTTGATTTTGAAAATTAACAGAAAAATGGTACCTACATACCGATCTTGATCGCAAGGTCGGATGATTTTAAAGTCACCAACACCTATAGCATTTTAGACCACATTCGTCACCTTGGATTTTGAAACTTTGATTAATAATTCAAGTTTCCCGTCAAAAATTACCCCGAGTTTCACGAAGATTGATAAAATAGGAGCCAAGATAGCTCTCTTTTTCAAAGTAGTTGAGGGGGAAAAAAATTAAAATGCCTGGTTTAATAAAATCAATAGGTAGGCAACTGCAAATCTTCTCTTCCCTGGTAAAAATTGGCGATAGGTAAGAGCTGCGTTTCAAAATACCGTAGGAATTCTTAAAGCCGGCCAAAGAAGGCTACAGAAAATCATGTATCTGGCTGTAGAATGCGGAGGAAATCATACGGCCGGGCTATACGAAGCGATAAAAAATTATGCAGCCAGGCTATAGTTCCTATCGCCAGGCTTTACACTTTATCGCCTGGTTGTTGCTTTTTTGCCATCGATTATAAAAAGCTATAAGAAATTGTGCAGAAATTCGTGTGCTTTGGAAATCATTTAGCTTGATACGGAACCACCTTAATATTTACAAAACACGTATTATATTTTCCTCTAATACATATTTTTCTTCATCCATTAAAATGAGAATAATCCATACAGGATGTGCAAACATTTCAAAATCATGAGTTGAACAACGCTGACTCCGCTAGATTAAATATTTGAGCCTAACACAAAGCGGAGCGGCGACGCACTGGCGCCTACAAACCTAACAGGGATACTTCACGCATTGCGCAACGCGTGAAGTATCCCTGTTAGGTTTGTAGGCGCCGATGCGCGTTTCGCGGTGGCTGCCCACCTGCCGCGCCGCAGCGTGCCATGGCGCTTGAAGCAACTATTTCACACCAGAGGTATTGCACAGTATCATACGAAACTGAAGGCGCTCTAATATATTAGGAATGACAGACATCCATCAAAAATACGGAGCTTTCCTGTCAAAATAAATCAAGATATTACGGCCCAAAAAGAGAGCAGTAGTCCAAAAACTCACTGAGTCCTAGCATCCGTAATTACTAACGTTTAGCATACACTTCATCGCCTGGCTGTTGCTTAATCGCCATCGGATATAAGAGGCTATAAGAAATTGTGTAGCCGGCTGTAGAAACTATTGGAAATCTTACAGCCGGCTGTAGGTCTGTGGTATTTATTGGAACACAGATTCTACTGCCAATTTTTACCAACGTTTAAGATCGTCGCCGAAAGCAATAAGTCATGTTTTGTATCGGGGGAACCTATTAATCCCCCCCCCCCCCCCCCCCCCCCCCCNGATTTGGATTGCATTTTGCCAAAAGGAACCACTAGCATTGGAATGTTGCTAAGATTGTGCAACTTCTCTTGTCTTGGAGGAAAAACCCGATTATCCATTAATATTTTCTATTTTACTCGCTAAAAACTGTAAATTTAAAACAAAAATTACCATCTAATTTCATAGTTTTTCACGATTTTCGCAATTTTATTGCAAAATATGAAGTTGCACAATCTTAGCATCATTGCAATGCTAGTGGTTCCTTTTTGCTAAATGCAATCCATTTTGTGTCGGTACTTACTCAGAAAATAATAAGATCATGACAATAAATTATAATGTTTCGTAGGCACAATAATTTTATTATGCTTCTTGTAACGTACACGTTCGTTTTGATAACCTCTGGGCATTGACGTAATGCCTCTGGGCAAGATGCATTCGTTGGACAGTTCCTCGTGCGCATTGGGGCTCGTAGTAGTACCACAACGCACAACGTATTCGTGGAAATACTACATGTAGTAAATGATAGTACTACGTTTACGAGTTTCATTCATGATTTCAAGAGGAGAAGGTCAACGTCCTCTGATTCGCTCTGATTGGAGGGTTTCAAAGAGGGGAAGGAGGTGAATAAAGTAAACAATCTGATCTGAATGAGGTGAGGTCACAAAGTAGACGTAGAAGAATTAAAAGACCGGCTTTTTTCATCGACATAAATTGAACGCATATAACGTCGTCGAAACAGTAAAAATTATGGACATTTTCACATTTAGCACGAGCATATTAATTACTCTCCCTAATACACAACCCTGACAGTTTGACAACAAGTGTTTATAACCTCAAAGTGCTAACATGTGCCGTGCTCTTTACTTACTCTGTAACATGTACATTGTGGTTCTTCTGTTTTAATCAAGAGAAATTATAATTTCACAGTGTTCTACCAGGATTTCACCGCATAGTTGCTTTGGATTAAAATTACCAATTGTGTGTAGCAACGTCTGAATCCAATGATCAAATGCAGTACTAATAAGTTAATGTATCACACCGTTATCCACTCATTGCTCACAGTTAGCTTCTCATTCAAGGTATAATGAGAGCTTCAATTGCAAATAAATATTGTAGCAAAACGTATCAGCTAAACGTCATTTGAAAGTCAGTTGATCATTTACCGGACATACGTCAATACTTACACTAATCGGGCTGTGAATAGTTAGGTACCTACATTTTGAACACTTTCTATGTCTGGGATATGATATTCTGACGATCCTATCATGTGCGGAATATTTTGCACAATTTGTAGAAGTACCTCATCATCTAGCAATATCTATGTAAGTATTCTTCAGGTTATTTGGTCACTAGTCTCATAAATTTGGCTGTAAGTACATGTGAACGGTGAAGCTGCAAAAACTCAAATTTTGTCTGCGGTATGTTAAAATCTCTGTTCCCAGTATATTATATCAAAGGAGTGTAAACCAATGTTATCATTTGAAATGCACACAGTATTTTTCACAGAGATTCAAAAAATTAAGAAAGTTTTCCAAGAAGTTTTTAAGTATATGTTTAAAAGAAAAAAAACATGACAGTAAGTCGGCAGCATCACAAAACCGAGTTGCAAGCATTCTTGCAGTTGCACCATCATAGGTACTTCATTTGGTGTATAGCTATAGTAAAGATCCTAATGAATCAAAATTTTATTGTAGTTACTTTTCATGACACGATTACAGCTTTAGATGTCAAATCAAGTATTCCATATTTCCGCTAGTAAATTTACTTAGTAGGAACTATGAATATAATATGACTCACTTCTTTAACAGTTAAGTACAACTATATTTTTAACCAACAGTCCACAAAAACTCTGTGACTACCTAATTTGTTATTTCATCTTTTGATACCAAGTAAGGCTAGATCCAAGGAATTTCCGTTCTTAGGCTTTTAATTTGAAGCAACTATTTAAAGGGACCTTTTTTGCTAAATTTGCTGAGTTGCCTCGAACATCCTCCGTCATCTTCCTCAGTAGAAAAGTGCTCACAATAGTGGCGTGTGTTCAACTTGGGCGCTCTGCAGAAACCTTCAAAAAGCTTTGGAAATCTATTCTACTGTCGAATATCAAGCACTGATTTGGTCACTAATATCAACCTTTTTCTTCATAGTTAGAGCCATGTCACGATAATCTGAAAAGACGAGGACCAAATGCGTCCGGATCCATCACTCAGAAATTATCAGATTCGGTCGAAGGAGTCTTTTTTGCAAGTGTACTGTGGATGCAAGGATGCTCGTCTCCTACAAAACAGCCTCTTGTTGATGCAGAGGGCAACATTCTACTATGGAACGGAGATATACTTGATGGCACATTGGTAAGACCCCTCTGTTGTTTAATGAGTAAGATACCTTGAAGGGTCTAATAAACTCAAAAATTAACACCAGTTTACATTAGATTTCACTGCAAAACCTACACTCAGATTATCCTGCACTTGATTTTAACATTGATATGTCTAAAAAATTGGTACTTTTGAAGTTTTCAGTAGGTAACTGTTTGTTTCCGGGCCATAAAAAATGCAAGCCGATAATAGAAGTGTATGAAGGTTTTAACTGTAACTCCAAAGCTCCTAGAGAATTACTCTCTAGAGAAAATTCAATTAAAAAGGCAGAATTTCAGAAGCAAAACGATGATTGTAATGGAATAGATATTGATCCAAATTCAGTGCAGTTTTAATTTTTTGGGGGGCAGATTAAGTGAATTCAATGGCTTCACTGTTGAAAATGTTGACTTTGTAAGAGACTCAAAGCCTAAAAAACATTATACCTACGCTGTTCACCCTTATATTGTCGTATTGCACATTGTGCTCTATCTACGTATAATCTACAAGACCTATCTAATCTGTATCATAAAAATATAATTACTTTCCTACTCTGGTCATCCACTCAATACGTATTATTTGATCAAAAACTATTTGATGCCCATTCTTGAAAAATTGGCTTTCATATCAATTCACTTTGAGGATTAAAATTGATCAAATCTTGTGTGGTCTTATTTGCTTCGAGACAAATTCAATTAACTTTAAATTCAATTCAATGCTTTCAATTATCTTGGGTGTGCATTTATTTTTTCCCTTTTAATTTTGCAGCAAAATGAAGGCGAATGTGACTCTTTTATTCTACTAACCAGACTTCAGACAAATGATGTTTTGAACACTTTAGCAGCCATTCAGGGGCCTTACTCTTTTATTTATCTGGATCGCAAGAAAATGCAGTTGTGGTTCGGGCGAGATCCAGTTGGAAAGCATAGTTTTCTCTTCAATATTTCCGAGGATGCAGCAGTATTTACTTCTGTCGGAGTATCCTCCATTCCATCCTTACAGGAATTGCCTGCTGCTGGAATATTCAAACTTGACTTATCGTTAGGTGATTTTACCAAAGGTAATAGGCCACTCATTACTTTTTACCCTAAAGTATCTGCCGAATCAAATCTTTTGTTAAAATTGATGTGTTAATGCTAGAGAGTCTGGATGAACCAGAATCCAGATGATCAAAAAATTGAAAATCAACATGAAATTTTGCTTGCACATAGTATGCAATTACATATTGATTCTAAAAGGCTCAAAGAAATTAGATTTTTTGATGACCAGATGATTTAATAGGTGCACTGATTGAATCTCGACCAGTTACTTGACATTTCCACTAGTGCATGACTGCCTGGTGTCATCAAGACTCTAGATTTCAACTGTACGCACCCGTTAAATCCATATAGATAATCAACAATCTGAATATTAGCAGTTAGGGTGATCAAAACTTTATTGCTTGCGACACAACTTTTTGCCAATCCATTATTTTTTGTGCGTTGATACATCAGCAATTTACCATTCAATCCTGCCTCCAAAACTGATTGATCTTATTTATTTTTTGATGTGCTTCTCTAGCCTCTGTTTTGTTCCTCTTTGTTAGAAGGCATCTCCTTTGAAAACATAAAAGCACTCAGAATTTTTATTATATTCATCTTTCGTCAATAATCTTTTAATAAATAATTATATTTTTTAAAAAAATGATTCCCTATTTTTACTTGTATTTCATCAATGATTATTCTATCACATTCATCATTTAAGAAAGTTTTTCCCCTCATTTTTTCAGGTCTCGTGATACATCCTTGGGAGCACCGCAAGTTTGATATCAGCAGGATGATGGACCAGCTAAATGTATACACTGTGGATGTACCTGTAACACACTGCATTCTTCGTGAATTCAGTTTTCAATTCAATTTTGATGAAGTGGGTCACAATTTTGATTTTTTATCAGATCCTTCTGTAAGTGGTGAAGATTGTTTCAAATTATTCTACCAGAGTAGTCACTTTGCGGGAAATGTTGAGAAATTGTTGGCACTTTTAAGAAGATCTGTGCAGGTCAGAATTGGTTTGCAACCTCCACTTTGTGCAGGTTGCATAGAAACAAAGACCAATTGTGCTCACTCAAAAACTGCTGTTCTTTTTTCTGGCGGGTTAGATTCGACAGTTTTAGCATTGCTTTGTCATGAGTTTGTTCCAGAAAGTGAACCAATAGATTTGTTTAATGTCGCTTTTGAAAAAATCTCAAGGCCACAAAATGTCAAACAGAAAAACAAATTTGATTCTACAAGTTCTGTGGAAGAGCCGAAACCCTCTGAAAGCAACTTCAAAGTCCCTGACAGGATTAGTGGATTGAATTCATTTGAAGAACTTGAAAAATTATGTCCCGGGCGCAAATGGAATTTTGTTGAGGTATGTCAAGATAAATTCTAAGCATCTATTTTGTTTTTTTCTTCTTGAATCATGTTTTGCTCTCTCTGCAACTTTCTGGAAATTTCTGCTCTTGTTAATTTTTTTTAGAGAGAAGTAAGTAACATATTGCCTTCAAACTTTTCAAATTCCTTATAAACTATGAAAAAAGGTACAACATTCAGAAGCAGATATTAGCCCAATTTCGCATGGAAGAAATAAAAAATGAGAGGAATTTATGCAACGAGAGATGTAGTCAGGCTCATCCTGGTTTTTGTCCACACATAAAAGTCTTAAAATAACGTAACTGTCTAGTAGTAATTTGTAAAAAGATAAAAGAAATTTACGAGGTTTTTTCTTTCTTTCTCTCAGTACTTTATGTTCCTTTTAGCCTTTCATAAAATGGCAATAAAAATAAAAAGGCAGCAGAGGAGAATTAAAAAGTGTTAGAAGTTAGATAGAAAATAATGGACATTCTGCCGTATAATTGGCCAACTAATCTAAGGAAAGCTCCAGCATTAATGACCTGTTTCAATATAATATTCATTTACTTTTCAACAATTTTATCAATTATATTTTCATGTTCCATAGATTAATGTCTCAAGGGAAGAATTGAATAAATTTCGGAAGACTCGTATCTCAGATCTTATCTATCCATTGGACACAATTCTTGATGACAGCTTAGGCTGTGCTCTGTGGTTTGCTGCCAGTGGTCGAGGGCTCTTAGATGGAGAAAGCTATTGCTCCCCTGCAAGGGTAAAATCTTGAAAACAAGAGCAACTATTTTTATCTCTAAGGAAAATGACTTTTATATCATGGTTATTGAGCAAAGATACCCACGATTCAAGCAAATGCTGATTATTAACTTAATTCCATTGAGGAAATGAATTTTGAACCGAAAATTACCTTTGCAGAACTGAGTGACTCAGATGCTGATGAATTTGACAAGGGTTTTACTGAAGTTCATAAAAAATTATGCCAACTTAGTGCCGATGAGAACTTCATGTACTTCTCCAAATTGTTCATCCTTTTTGTTTTTTCTTCAGAACAAATTCTGAAAAAGGTTGAATATTTTTCTCCGAACTATATTTTTGGATCAAGTTTACTACTAAAATATTAGTTAAACAAGTAACATTTTTACATCAGCATTAAAATATAAACGGCTAATTTGTGCCGTTTCGCAGAATACATACATAAATGCAATATTCACCATTCTGAACTCATTATCAATACAATTTTAGTAATGAGGTAGGTTTCTGAAATATATTTTCACAGTTTAAATATCTTTGATTTTTTTATTGACCTTCAAGGTCTCAAATCATTGATCGATGCACACACAGCACAACTTATATATATATATGAGTCGCTTTTATAGCGCTCTTTGGCGCTGTGCGACGCCTAATCGCCACAAAGCTCGGTCTTCCCACAGGTCATCAGGGAGTTGACAATCTCTTATCTCATTTAACACCCCCTGTCGCCAACCTCTCACTGGGCGTCCCCTACGTCTCCTCCCAGGAGAAACCCAATCAAGCATCTTTTTTGGCAGCCTCTCTTCCGTCATCCTATTGACATGACCATACCAAACAAGTTGTTTGGTCATGACGTCGAACACGATGTCATTTTCGACTTCCATTATCTGACGCACTCTATCATTACGGACCCGATCTCCACACAGCACAACTTTCAGCACATTAATTCTTCTGCATTCTGTGTAATGTTTAATAATGTTTTTAACTTCATGTTTAAGTTCTTTCAATACATCTCCAAGTACCAATCTAACATCTCTTTCCCTTTATGATATTGTAGGTTCTCATTCTAGGAATGGGTGCTGACGAGTTACTGGGAGGATATACCAGGCACAGAAAGACTTTTGAACGTTCTGGCTGGGAGGCCCTCAACAAAGAGCTTCTAACGGAAGTCTGGAATATTTCTCTCAGGAATTTAGGCCGTGACAATCGTGTAACAAGTGATCATGGGCGGCAACCAAGGTTCCCATTTCTGGATGAAAATGTCATAGCATTTTTAACACAACTACCTCCATGGGATAGGTAAGTCTTAGGCAGCTTCATTTTTACCATCACAGAATAATGAAGGATGGAGAGTATGGAAAATTTTGGCTCCATACATCCACAACAAACGAAAATCTTAGATGTTTTAATGCCTGAATGATTTAAATACTGAATCGTGTTTTTTTCTATCCAATTGCAACTGCAAAGAGAATTTCAGAGAGTAGGAAGTTCAGAATTTCGAAAATATTTTAAAGTATGCCTCAAGTCTCTCTCAGCCAATTGAATCGTTGTACTGTGCAGAAAAATTCTCAGGGGACTCATTCATAACACGGACATTTTCTGACAATCTTCACGGCTTGATTTTGACTGAGAAGAAGTTTCATGAAATATCGCAAGTTTCAAAAAGTGTGTCAATTTTTAGAAAAAGGTTCCATACAAAATTTAGCATGGTATGTACAACAGAGAGTAAAACGCAAAAATTATTTTTCATTCACAGGTGTTGGTTTCCTAATACTAAGCCCGGTGTTGGGGATAAGTTACTTCTGAGGCTGCTAGCATGGAAGTTGGGCTTACAGTTTTCTGCCCTGTTGCCCAAGAGAGCTCTTCAGTTTGGTTCAAGGATTGCGGACAGCAAGGAGAAAGGGAACATTAAGTGCCAAAGGCTAACAACGTAATTCCTAATATGTATTAAACCATCACGGTCTATTATCAACTCCCAGAAACCAGAAATTGTTGGCAGATGCTATCGATATAGGAACCTCAAAGCGGTTGACCATAACTCAAGGAGACTCAAAATCAAGGCAAGTTAAATAGGAACTTAGAAATTTGATCAATAGGTCCTTTGAAAAGTGTTGAATTGTGCCTTTTGGAAGATCAAAAATTCTTGCCAATTCTGTAAGCCAGTAAATGAAGAAAGACAGGTCGAAATTTAGAAAATAACTGTTTCTTTACTGTTAACAGTCTTACCTGAAGAAATTATGTCTGTCGCAGTAGCATCTTATAAATTATATGTACTGAAAAAGCAAAACATATATGTAAATAATACAGTTTGGAAAATCAACGTTTTCAAACAAAAATTCAGCCCATGCATCTCCACTGATGACAACCATCAGTGAAGAAAAATATGTGTCTATTCGACTTTAATGAGTACCCAAGTCTGTAAAAAATGATGAAATGAGAATATTACAGTTAAAAGTTTTGAAACAGGGACCCAAAAAAAGAAAGATTTTTGCTTATTTATTTATTTATTTGTTCTTTTATTTTTGTTTCAATACTTTGTATTCAATCAATTAAACAATAACAACACCATACAAAAAAAAAAAAAATAATAATAATACCTAATCCAAAAGCCATACAAAAATTTAGAAAACAGAACCTAACAAAACTGTAATACAAGGTCTGTTAGAATAGAAACCGGATTTTGGTCATAACTAGCTCACAATGCGTCCGAATTAGGTTTTCTTGAGCTTTTATGATAGCTGAAAATATACTTAAGAACGCTACGTTCACAGATTTTGTTTATTTTGATCAGTGTTTATTCTGTGTCATCTTGAATACAAGTAAGTCAGGTGCGTTTTGCGATTTTCAGCATGCGATCACTGATAGAGCAAAGACTCAACATTTAATTTTGTTTTAAACTCGGTATACCTTGTACCGAAACTTTTGTTATGCTAAGTAAAGTTTACCAAGATCATTGTATGAGATGTTCCCACTGTTTTGAGTGGGTTAAACGATTCAAAACTGGTCAGGAGTTCGTCGAAGATGAGGAGTATGGGAATCTACCCTCAACGGCAACTGACATTCGTCACGTGGAAGAAGTGCGGGCAAAAGTGCTCGAAAATGGTCGTTTCGAGCTTGTTGAACAGAGTAATATTTCTGAAGGCTATGTGCATACAATTTTGATAGAATATGTAGACACGCATCGAGTTTCAGGTACACTTACCCCTTGATTGTTGACCGTTGAACGAAAATCCAACCAAATGTCAATTTCCCCTTAGCTGCTTGAACGTTCTAACAATGATCCTACATTTTTGGATAGGATAATTTTCTGTGACAATACTTTAGTGTACGGCTACGATATGGAGACGAAACTCCAATCGTCCTTGTGGGTTGAAAAATGTAGTGCAAGACCGAAAAAAGAGAGACAAGTTCGGTCAAACATAAAAATCGCAAAACACCCTTGAGGTTGCCTTACTTCAAGCCACATACCAACAAAGCTAATTATGATTTTTCGAATTTGTGAACGTAGCGTTCTTAAATATATTTTCAGCTATCAGAAAAGCTCAAGAAAACGTAATTTGGACGCATTGTGGGCTAGTTATGACCAAAATCCGGTTTCTAATCTAACAGACCTCGTATGTTGTCTGATTATCAAGCAAAATACCGGGATAAATCAAACAACAGACTAAAACTATCATAAAATTTGAAATTTAAGTATCACAATGCTTTCAAGTTAGATGTTAGGTACAAACCAAATACCTAAATTTTAGAAATCCTCAATCTCTTCCTCATGAAATGATTCATCAAAGATGAGCCTCAAAGGCAATTAGTCAAATTGTGAAATTTTCTATAGGTTGAAGAATTTGAAGGAAATATATCACACTTGCAACAGCTATAACTATCTTTCAAATCCAATGATTCGAAGAGTTTTATCATAAACACCAAAAAATATCCCTCCTCCTAGCATTATGGAAAATATCCTTGGCAGAAAACCGGCGAACAACCTAAACAAAAAGACGAAATAGAATTAAAGGATGAGGCCCACAAAGTGAGTTAAAGGAACTTTGTACGGAAAAAAAAAAGTTTAGTCCTAATACCTAGTCAAGATATCCTGCAGTTATCAAATGAGCAAAAATAATATTCTCCACACTTTTTTAAACCGTTCTATCATGAAGAATGGGAATTCATCCATAATTTTTCCTTAAATTGAAAGGTTACCTTAGTTGATTCACTCATCATGAAATAAAAAGGGGCTAGGGCTCAAAACATTATACAAAGCGATGGCTTCTACTAACTTGGATCAACCTGTAACAAGGTCACTTTATAATGCTCATAATCAATTTTCAGAACTTTCTTTTATTTATTTAAAGTCATTGTCCTATTGAAAATGAAATGTTCATTAGACATCACTGAAGTTTGACAATTCCGTTTGAAAAATCCGTGACAAGTGGACTTACTTTTTGAAGCCGTGCTCTTTCCTAATATCTATAAGGACGGTAATTATATTAGTGTTTAAAGCTTTTTTGGACCCAGCTTCTGCCAACATGATTTGTGTTTTCGCAACATCTAACGGTGTCGTAATAGCTGAGGCTACTGCTCCTGTAGAAAAAAAGCGATTAAAAATTTAAATCAATTGATTAATTGATAGATCAAATTTAAAAAGAACACTACAATCCTTGGATTTCAGTGCAAATTGATTTCCAGTTTGTTGCTCATCATTTTGACTATGTCAGACATGACATGAGCAAAAAGTTTTAACAGCTCTCTTCTAGGACAGTGATTCAGACCGTTTTAATTTTCCGAATTTTGAACGAATTCTCAACATTTTCTTGTCCATTAATAGTTCACATTCACGATTATAATTTGAATTGAATGAAATACTTAGCTGGATGTGACTTTTTTTTAGTGAGAGAGAAACTGAAACTGGGAAACCACACTAACCTGAAAAGGCTCCACATGCAGCAACCTCTGCAGAGTTGATGGGTCTACCTTTGAAAATTTTCCATCGCTTCATCGAATACTCCCAAACAGGGAATTGAATGATGGAAAAAGGTATGTCCCTGAATAGCGTACTAAAGTAACCCCTGTAAATGCCTCTCATGCCTTCTTGCCTTATTGTGTCTTTCATGATGGCTAGCGGGGATTTGGCATTAAGCAGAGCTTGTCTCCTTTGCTTTACAATCTCTGCAGGAACTTTGATACAACAACAAGACTGAAACACCAAGCAGAAAACTACAATTCAGGGAAAGAATGTGATAACTATCCAAATAAATCAAGCTTTAAATTTTTTCTGTGATTAATAAAACGAAAAATGTTGATTGCAATTGACAGACAAGACAAAGCAGACAAAGGGAAAATGGAGAAATTCTATCGTTGGAAGTGAGTGGTTGCAGTGGACGAAGGACATAAGTAACAGACTGCCTAACGGCAACCTGCAAGAGACCATTACTTCATCATTTTCTCCCTTAGTCTATAAGGAGCATCCAGCTCAACCAATAAATTTGCCCTCTTCTTTGTCTATCCATTTCAATAATCAGCTGGCAGCGACTGAAATCACTAGTGACTGTTCCATGAAAAAGGTTGAGGTACACGGAATTGGGACTTCATATTTTTTAGTTGTCACTCAAAATAGATGTGAAAAACAAAAAGACAGAAGTCACGCAGAGACAAGATGCAAAATTACTTACAACTTCAGCAAATGAAGCACTTGTACTATGAACAAACGGTAACAGTTCTTGGCTGCAATGAGGGGTGATAAGATCCTTCATACCATTGTAAGTCGCAAAAAAGGCAGCAGCTGAAAAGATAAACAAGAAGCAAGTAATGAGATTATTCCTGAGAAAAGAGAAACCTCTGTGGAAAAGAAAGCATCAGGAGCTTTTCTCAGAGGAAAGAGTTTTATTTAAAAAAACATGGTTCCGGAACGAGATAGCTAATTGTTAATAAATGTTTTTTATCTTTACATAAGTTGAATCCCTTAAAAATGCAAGAGGCAGGAGTAAAAAATTACCCAATCTTGCGACCCGCGAAGAGAGGATGTTCTCAAAACCTTGAAAACTTAAGAAATGGAAAATTCAATTTAACCCTCTATGGCATGAATTAATTTTGGATCTCAGATTCTAGGAGACACAATCTATTTTGTAGCTTGTATAAAAAAAATAGAGTAACAAATTTTTTTCCAAAATTTTAAAGTTAGGGGAATCAGCTTTTCATAAAAAGAAAAAACTAATGAAATTTTGCAAAATCATGGCACAGGGGGAAGATTTGATTTTTAAAAACCCCCAAATTACGATGTTACGAGTTCATAACGCTATGCCATGGAGGGTTAAAAGCTTTCTCATGAGATTACAAACCACACTTACTCTAAGCATCATGCGGGTGAAAGCTTATTTACCAACCTGAGAATGGGGAGGCAAGAATGGCTGGTGCAAATCCTTTGTAAATACTTTTAAAGCCTCCAGAATTCCAAAACCCATACTGGCTTTGCAATCTAGTTTTCAGAGTGTCAAGAGGAAATAGTATTGTATCAACAACCACACCAGCAGCGGCACCACCCTGCAATTAGATGAAGAAACATTATTCGTCATGAGTAATTACTGCCTAACCCTGAGTGATGAGGTAAGTTATATTTTCCACAAAAAGAAAAAATAAATGAAATAAATATAAATACCTATCACGCTTTCTGCTAGTGTTAAAGGTACTTATCAACAGTCAGCTTGACATCAACTGAAAAATTAATAGTTTTAAGCGAGTATCTTCGCTAATACGACAGATGCACCCAGCATTGACTATTTTTTCTGGTGGGACAAGATCATACACTTGGAGTCCTCTGTCTTTGACCACTGAACTCTCTGGAGAAGCATCAAGATTCTTACAGTTGCTTGGATTTATCATCAAATAAGTTTACGCACATTTAGACTACGACAGAAGATCGCCTGACGTAACTTTTACATGTAAAGTAAATGGAAGGGGCAAGATTGCAAATCTTCTGTCGCAGTCTGAGAGTGCATAACCTTACTTGGCCCAGACTCTTTTGATTGTTTTGATCAATTGGACGGTGGGTGGAAAAAAATTCTTACCACTATGGACTGGGTGAGGTTCTCTGTAGTTCTCTGAGATACAGCTTCATGAGTGCTTGATGCTTCGATTTCCATAGTGAAATCCGACTACAAAAAATAAGGTGATTAATCATGGAAGGTAATTGATTTGAAGGCAAGTTTTGTTCTCCAAGACGGTAAAATGTACTCAGTTCATTTCCCCTCCAATTTCATGTAGTATTTAGAATCAACAAGAAAAATAATAACTTTAGTCAAGACGGAGCACTATCATTCAGTGACAAATAAGCATATTGAATTCCCTTTGTCATTGAAAAACTTATTGTCTTAGCTCTAACATTAAATTGCAACTGATGTAACTCTGTTGGTCTGTTGGCACATCTGAATCAGCGAGTTTATTTAAGCTGCAGAGACAACTTTTACCGGTTTTCCTTTAAACCCTTATATATATCTTTAGCATTACTTAAAAATTTCATTATAATATTTCAATCAAACTAGTCATACGAACTAAGTTCTGAACACTTCGTTCTGTACCACATGCACTGATAAGATGATTAGTGATAAGAAAATCCTAACCTATCAAAACGTGATAAGGTGGTGATTGGTTACGATTCGGAGTGATGGGTGGTCCTCTAGTTGCTTCACCGAAAAAAAACAGGGAAGTGAGAGAAAAAAAAAACGAAAACGACGTTGTGGCCAAAAATCGAAATGTAAACAATTAGTAAATTGTGCAGTTCTTTTATGTGACTAAATTTGACTCCATCGTTCTATCAATGGGCGCGGGTGGTTGTAAATTTTGTCAGTTTTCTTCAGGCAGATCAAGGAACACCAATTCTTTTGATGGCCCCAGTTCTAGTCAACACAACATTAGTACAGGTAGAGGAAGCATTCTCTCCGATGGCCGAATAGATAGGTATGTTCCAGGAGTTTTTGGTTCCACGTTTTGTAAAGTCAACAAGAAAACAGTTGACCGATTAATTTTACAAGTCTTGGGAATCATCGGACACCTCGTCGAAAGTGCACCTGACACCCCCGAAGCGCTTCAAAAGCTGAACGAAATCGCTGACAAAGAAGAAGGATGGATTCAGATGATTCATTCTATGGTGAACATCATCCCGTTGGATAACCCATTGGGTCCAGTTGTCATCACCGTTCTTCTTGATGACTGCCCTCTTCCTAATAAGGTATCTCAAATTTGCTTTGTTCTGTCCTAAGTTAAGGCCAAGCTAGCATAATCCAGACATTTTCAAATGCCATTCTTGAGGAGCTCAATTCTCCCTGACTCCAAAGAATTGCCCGGAATCCTTGTTTATCTACATCAACCATCCAAAGTTAAAGAATAATATAGCTATCTTCTTTCTCTTTCTGCTCATACAAGCCGAAGTGACTGAGACTTTGCTGGAATATTCACATGACGATTCCTTTGTTTCACCCACTTCCTGTGAGCTCTGGCCGTCAGTTTCATCGTATGTGAAGCCAGGTACTGAATGTTACTTACTGGCTCTCTGAATGTGAAAACCAATGATAACCAATCACATGTTAACTCATTCCTTCAAGAAAGTAGGGACTGATAGCCAGCACACATTTAAATCAACATCAGCTAAAATAGGAGAAGGGCAGGGGAAAGTAAGGAAAGTTATTCCTTAAATGAGGGACTTGGAGGACAAGGCGCGCAAGTGCAGTTTTTGCTGTTTCAAGAAATGTGTTCAAAGTTTCGAAATGACATGGATCCTTATAGCGGAAAGAAAGTTCAAACTGACTTTTTCATGCATTTGGAAGTGAATTTTTCTCAGAATACATAACAAAACTATTATTAATGAAACCATTAACATCTCAATTTTTTCGAAAACTGTACTTAGGCGCTTTATCCTCCAAGCTCTTCAAATTTGTTGGAAAAGGTATTTTTGTCTCGAATAGAGGAGGATTATCTCCCTCATCTTATCCAAGAAATGAGGGGCTTGGAGGACAAGGCGCATAAGTGCAGTTATTGCTATTTCGAGAAATACATGTTTGAAGTTTCAAAATTACATGAATCCTTATAGCGCAAAGAAAGTTCAAACTGACTGTTTGATGCTTAAAGATTAGAATTTAGGAGCGAATTTTTCACCAAATATGCAACAAAAATTACATGAAATCATTAATACCTCAATTTTTTCAAAAACTGCTTTTACGCGCCTTGTCCTCCAAGCCCCTCAAATAATATCTACATGTCTACTGGGCGTAGTTTTAATCTAATTCTTTTTCCATTTTTCCCCCAGGACACAATTGTTAAGCTGTCTAGAATATTCAGCTTATCAAGGTATGGATCAGTCAAGAAGAAGAAATCGGTCTGTCAGCAAAGGAATGTCTGCATCATTCTTGGCATGTTGGCAGAAAAACTAGCTGGTCCAAGCAGTGTTGCTCTCCTCACACCAGGCACGCTGGCTTATTTAGTCAGTAATCTGGTAAGGTCACCTCTGTCTCTCTGTCTGAACTGGTTTTATCTAGTTTCATTTTATTCTCACAACAACCAGTCCATAAAATCACACTAAAAGTTTGATGTATCGAACCAAGATTAACCCAACTTAATCAAACATTGCCTAATTTTTTATATTCAAACAGAAAACTAAGCAACATTGAGACTTGACATTTGACAGTATATTCTTCATAATCAAGGGTAAATGCATAGAAAATTTAAAGGCGTTAAGTAGTAAGCTCTCTGTTGAAAAAGTAAAAATATGAGAAAAAATTATGCAATGTTAAATGAGGCGTCTAGAACCTGAACCGTTAATCTCTATTGTCTGAAGATTGTTCGATTATGATAATTTTAATAATGATAGAACAAGGCAGCCTCCATGTTCATGTTTTCTTGTGAATTTTCTGTTATCAAGCGAGAAAATTTGGAAGAATGTTGAAAACAGCCGGAGGTTTTGGTTGCTCCTCGCAGAAAATTAGTATGATTGCTCAATTTTTAGACAGTGCAATAAAGATTGCCGGTTTTGGTTCTAGACACCTCAAATTCATGAGTCCGCTTATTGCCAACAAATTTCTCAGTTGAAATTTTAATTCTAACATTTTGCATGTGAACTTTTAGTTCACTTTCAGATCAAAAAGGATTTTCTTTTATATAAGTATCTCTTAATAGCTTCTCTCCTCCGCAATGTCAAAGATAGTGATCGTATCTCTTCAATTATTGATTCAGTTTCTCTCAAATATTTAAATTTTTAGTTTTATACATGCATTTTTGTATGTCTGGGTGTTTGTGTGTGTTAATGAGCCTTTTTTTTGTGTTTCTAGGAAGAAAATGTAGAACCTATTTTGACATTATTCTCTTTAGTTGCCTTGGAGAAATTTGCTCAAACTAGTAAGTAGTCTTCAACTCTTATTTGTTGTTTTATTTTGCGTTTTGAGTTTGATTCATGATCATTATTTACTTACTTCAAAATTTCAGATAAGGTTTTAGGAGCTTTTTAGATTGATAAGTTTTATTCTTAGAAGCCATTATAAGGGCCAATTATAAAATGGTATTTCTATTTTCTTACTGATGATCAAATAGAATAGAAATAATTCAATGAAGAATTTGCAGGTGTCTGAAATTTTGTAAATTTTATATTTGAAATGAAGCTGCTAGGAAAACTGAGCGTGAGGATATCCTTGGTTTCTCCATTGAAAAACTTTGGAGGAAACATAACAAAATAACCGAATCTGCCAAAATACATGTGATTAAATGGAAAATCCTGCCAAATGATGACACAAGGCGGCACATTTTCTCACTTTTAAATCCATTTTCCTCCAATTTCCCAGCACTCTTCGATGAAGTGCTAAAATTTGTGTGTGCAAATTCTCCATTCTATTCAACATGCTTCTCAACCAGTACTACTTGCAAGCGCTCAAGGTAATTTCCTCTGTCAGCAAGTTGTAAGAAAAGAACCTGTCCTTGGCGAGCAATTCTTAGGAGCCATCTTTACCACAACTGCAACTTCTCAAGCTCCAAGGGCCCCTTAGAAATTTAAGAGAAAAAGGCAGATCTAAAATAAGTGACAGGAAACAATCAAGACAGGCAGGAAGCACAAAGATCCCAGCTACCGCCACTGTATCATGAGCATAAATAATCAAAAGCAATTGGTTTTGCCACAAATACTAGAAATGTAATTTTTTTTTTTTATTTGTCCTTTCTCTAAGCCTTTTAAGCTGAAGCATTTTAGGAAAGTGAAAGTTGTGTTTTTTTTACGAATTGTTCCAATTTATTTTCTCAGGTGAAAACAAATTGTCTATCAAAAGATACCTTGAGACTGAGCCTGTTAACCCTATTCTAAAGCTTGAGCGTTTTGTTGGATCTCAAGATTATGTGGAAGCACAAGTCGGATTTTGTGCACAATGGTGCCTAGATAATTTGTGTAAGTCTCTTTTCAACTCATAACCATAAAATCTTTATTTTTTTATTTCTTTGCAAAAATATCCTGTTCTGCAAGTACTCATTTATTTTTTACTTTTTCATAAAGCTCTGAGAAACTTTATATCATTAAGTTTTAGAATAATGTAACTACGCTCATATTGCTTATGTTGCCTCTAATTTTTATGTTTGCAGTGTATATGTGAAAGTAACTTTGAAAAATAATGATTTTTTAATGCCTTTTCACAGAAGAGTGTATTTTTTATTTAACAACGCTGAAACTTTCAAACCACTTCTCTCGTTTGCGTTGCAGTGTCTCAAAATATCCACTACTATTTAATTTTTCTGAAGGAGAACAAATCAACATCATTCCTTGAAGTTTTCATAAAATTTCCTTCTTACAGAGCAAAGAAATCACGGAAGTTTTAAAGAATTGACATAGTTTTTCCATTTTTTTGAAAAATGTGAAGTATAACAGGAAGTATTACAATGTCGCAAACTGAGATACCTGGTTTGGAAGTTCGACCGGGGATATGTTTGTTTGTCTTTTCGGTGCACATAAGTAAATCCTCATGGTTTGTTGTTTCTTAATTAAAAAATTTGATATAGTCGGTAAAACTTGCAATCCAGCAGTGGTTAACTTGTCAACGGCCGACAGACAAGAAGATGAGAGAACAGTTCACCCTGCTACACCAGCTTCAGGGGTGCAAAAGCGTCCTATTTTGTGATCTGCAGATCAGATGTGACGCAGATCTTGATATGTGACACAAACTTACAATTTTCAAAGAAATTCTTTAAGATAACTTTCAGGTCTTGAGAATGAGAAAGTTTTCAAGTGTCAAAAGAAAGGTATATCACCAATATTGCTGTAAGGCAGATACGCTGGTTGGCAAATAACTCGTTGATTCTGAATTTTTGCACCTCCGTCTTCCTTAAGATTTTATTGCTTTTGACAGTTATAGATTTTTTTAACAAAGCCATTTTCGTTTTCTCTCTCTGAATATTTTTCAAATTATGTCTACCAAAGAATTGTTCATATGTAATCATTCATCAAAGATATATTTCAAAGAACATTGGAAGAGGCTTTGTCAACAATAGTATGCTTACAAAAGTTGTTTTAATTTAACCTGTATATCGGATGCATTCTTGGATCCACTTCTCATTTTCTTCAGCCTCTGTGTTTATTTGCTTTCTTTGTTGCAGTTGTTGTAGAGGGCAGGAAACTCTCCTATGAAAGTATAGATTTAACAAATATCAATGCAATGTTGAACTCGCGGGATGCAAGCGAATACTTGAAAATATCTCCGGATGGACTTGAGGTTTGCAATTGCTCTCTTCTGATCTAGTGTTGTGACATAGTAGATTTGAAGGAACGCAGAAGTTCAAACATGATTGATACGATGATAGGATTTAGGATTTTTTAACATTCTAGATCTCATCTAGTATTTGCTGCCTGCTCAAATTTTGCAGAAAAAGCGCTTGACTTTATTTTTACCCTTACTTCATGAACGAATTTTGACTTGGGGATATATTTTTCTGAAGTGACTCGTAGAACACATGCACCCATATAATCAAGAAAAATTGACTCAGAAACAGAGAAATGCACAGTTCAATAAGGGCAACTTTTCCACCAATTTAAAATGCCCCGGTTTTGTGCCGAACTGAATGATGTCATCCGGTATCAATCAGAAGCGAGCATGGGTTTCTATGACCTCCATCAAATATCTTTCTACTTCCTGTTTATAAAAACAACAGGGAAGACAAAATTTTATGTTCAGAATCGAAGAATCGAATAACATTCATGTTATCTGTAGTTAACAAGCAACAGTTCCACATGAAATACATTTAATTTGAACAAACATCAGTGAAAAATAAGAGGAGGTAGCGATTTGACCCCTGCAGTACCTCCCTTCCATCATTTTCCCGCTATTCCGAAGCGTTTGGGGTCTTTGGACTTTTAAAGCGCGGACTTGTCCTGGATTTTGGGTCGAAAAATATGCAAATATGTCACCACGTAATCTACTCACCTGTTACTTTCATAATGTGAAATAAAAAACACAAGGTTTAGTGACCCATCTGTAAATTTTGCTGCATGATCATAGAGTAGCTTTAAAACCTTAGTGTGTCCAATGCAAACTTTAGTGAAAAACGTGTTCTCAAGCTCAGAACAGCTTTGAAAAACTTTGTTTACTGGTTTAAATTCAAGACAAGTGCAACCTCTTTAGGTCTGAAGTAATTGTTACTTTAAAGAATGTACATGCACTAAGATGTGATTTTGATGAAATTTATCGTTAAACTAAAACTAAATGCATTCCAGGTTACCTGATCCCATCATCAGTTGTTTTAACAATCAAGCTTTGCTGCTGTATTGGCCCTGTTCTGCGTCTAATAAGTAAAATCAGACTTTTTATTCTGACTTATGCTGGGATTATATCACTCTTGGTTACATGTTTTCCAATTTTTACTAAAAGGCATTACACTTTATTCTCATCTAGGCTCGCTGCGATGCATACCTGTTTGAAAGTGTCAGATGCACTTTCCCAATCCAAACTGGCATCTGGTACTATGAGATCACAGTCCTCAGCTGTGGAGTGATGCAAATCGGCTGGGCGACAAAGAAGAGCAAATTCTTAAGTCACGAAGGCTACGGGATTGGTGATGACGGGTTTTCTGTTGCATACGATGGGTGTCGGCAGCAGGTCTGGCACAATGCACACATTGAACTGCAGCCGAATGGACCACCGTGGAAGCCAGGCTGCGTTCTTGGCTGTCTTCTTGATCTCCAGACTCCGAAAGCTGTTTTTTATCTCAATGGAAATGAAGTTGCTACGCACACCAATGTCTTCAAGTTTGCCAAGTGAGCCCCCTACTATGTTGAATTTTAGCAGTGTGCTTATGTATACCCACCATCATTGCTTCATATTTGTGTAATTCAATGGTTTTTAAAAGTTTCAATTTAATGACAGAAAGTGTAAACTAAGAAAACGTAGAGAATACCTTCACTCAGAGAAATCAATCTGGCACCATTGTGTATCTCATACTTGAATGATGTAATAGGTTCATAATTCAAGCAAGAAGTGTAAACTGAGGAATATATAATTGATGGCTACAGTGCAAAATCATGTATCGCAATTGCAATTTTTCAAAATTTCCGCCCCTATTTTATTTTTTCAAAGAGGAACAAGCCAACTTCAAAGCTTGAAATTTCATACAGAATATTCTGCTAACAGAAGAAAAAAATCAGGTGAGTTTTTAGGAAATTTCGTCCTCTAGTTTTCCAAAGAAAAAATAAAGTATAAAGGAAGTCTGCAACTTCGCAAAAGGAGATACGTGCTTTCACTTTTTAGCCATCAGCATGGGCATATTCACTCGTGGACAATTAAGGAGAAAGAAAAGTTGTTTGCCAGTAGACAGAAGACTATTTTAAAATTTGTGCAAAAATTGGTTCTTTCCAGTAAATGTCCGGAATCTTATCCCAATTTCAGATATTATTGTTCTGTGTCATCAAAAATTCCTACTAGTCGTGGCATTTTTTTTGTTGTACGTCATTTTCTTTTTCTGTGCATTCTAATTTTACTCACAAGTCAATAGAAGAACAAAAACACCAGGATTTTGAAAACAGCAAAGAAACAGCTACTGCACTTTCAAAAGTTTCATTGTAAAATTAACATCATCAGCTTCTACACTTTCAAATTTTGAAACCAAACTTGAGCTGGTTCTTCCAAATTTTTTTCATCTTAATGGTATGACTTATGTGTATGTAAAAATTTAAAAATTTTCCTTCTCATCAATGTAAGCGCTGCCGAAGTCGCCATTTCGTGGTAATACTTAAAGAAAATAGTCACGTTAGTTAACAATTCATCTGTGTGATGTAGTTTAAGAATAAATTCTACTTTCACCTTGAGAAAATGGAAGCCAAGGAATCACCGTTTGAAAGTTCTGTTTAAGCTGCCTTTATAGAGATATAATGAGCTACCTGAATTATTTACAAATCCAGGACTATTTTGTAATAGGTAGTTAGTTTTGCGTAGGCTATTATTTTTATCTTCAACCATCTTCAATACTTGAGTTTAACTTCGATTTTTTCCCCCTTTAAAGGACTGGATTTTTTGCTGCTGCCAGCTTCATGGCATTTCAACACTGTCGATTCAATTTTGGTCGGAACCCTTTCAAATATCCGCCAAAGAACATTCCTTTTCAAAGCTTTAATGCTGTTGGTGTGCTGAATGCTGAAGAAAGAGTTATTTTACCCAGGTAATTCCAAATGGATGAAGTTTTCTCTATTTAACTGCCATTGTTTGAAACAGTCCTTTTCCAGTGTGCATAATACAAAGTACCATTTTCGTAGACATATTATTCTATTTTCACACATACCTGTGTCAAAACTTCAATGGGGCTCTGCTCATCAAGTGAATTTTTAATAACCTAGAAGTTTCAATACATTTTATACCTTGGTTACCAGAACAAATGGTCATTTTCAAGCTGCAAGCACCTTGTTAGATGCGAACATCTGAGACTCAGTTAAAACTGGGTTTTATTTTATTGGACGCTCATGGAATCTGGCAGGGATTTTAAATTACTTTGTTAACTGTGGAATTTCGTAAAAAGCTATTTTTTTCAAATGTCTGCTTGTTTTGTTTTTTCCTCCTTTCATTCACCCTTTACCAGTATCGCAGTGTCTTATTTTCAATAATCTCATTAACTGTGTGTATCTTGTTTCAGACATTTAAAACTTGAAAAGTTAAGAAGAATGAGTGTAAAAGAAGATTCCTGTACATTATGTTTTGACTTTAAAGCTACTGTCACTCTCAAACCATGCAATCATAGGTAATTATTTTCTTCTGTATTCTCAAAAACTTCAATTTTTTATCACAGTTGAAACCTTCGGTGAAAGATAAGAGTGAATAGTATTGTTGGTCAAATTGAGGTTTTGGTGATTTTGATCCAGGATTATCTCAAAGAAAACCTCAATGAATAAGTTGTCCTTAGAAACTCAGTTTTTAGTTCCTCAAAGCAAGTTCAAAATTAATCAAAGTTTGAATCCATTTTTTCTCAGTTTACTTTTTTAAAATAAAGAAATACTGAAGTTACTTTTTTCTTATGTTTGAAGCTGCACGGTAAATCTGCAATTGACTAAAAACAGTAATAATTTTTTTACTCAAAAGCTTTCAAAGTTTTGAAGTTTAATTATTCTTCAATTTTAACCCATTCACTTCCACACAAAAATTTTGAAGCAAGTTTTGTCTGTAAAATTCAGTGTCTAGATATTCGTTGGAGAAGACTCAGAAAAGTGTCCAAAGTTACAGAAAGTACTCTGAATATTTTTCAATGATTTCTTCTTTGAGCCCATGCCAAATTAGGTAGCTGAGTTTTTGAGTGGGATCATAGATCTGCTGTTCGTAATCACATTAAACTGTATGTAAGAGTAAAGATGGCACATCTTGCGTCCAGTTCTGCACCTCACTAGACGTTAACTCTCGTAAACTTGCAGTTGATTGATTGTCATCAAGAGAATTTCTAGAAAAAATAACTGAATAAAAATAATTTTCTTTTTCAGCGGATTCTGTGAAAATTGCTCTGTGCAGTTACTATCGTGTCCTGTATGCCGAGCATCAATTTCAAGTATGGCTGTTGATAACCCACCCGAAATTACCAGATGAGTGCGTTTGTTCTTCATGTACCTTAGAATTCTAGCTTTAACACTTTTTCATTATGAATAACTTGACCGGACGATACAATCAAACTGTGTTTCTTATTATCCTAGTTTCTTTTCAACCTGCAGCTAGTATTTGCTTCTTAGTCAAGCAGTAGCATTTGAAACTCGTAACCTACAAACTTTATACTTCGTCCAAGTTCATCAATCCAAAGAAATTTTTGAACGATACATACCTAGCTTTAATCAATTGAGCAATAGCAGTTTAGATTGATATAGTTTCTTCTCTTGTAATTAAAGACGTTCACGAGAATAATAAAATATGTGATATTTTTTTTTTAGTTGAGTTAATCGACTTATTTTTGCATTGTAATTTTTGAGAAAAGGAAAAAAAATCCTCCAATTATTTTTACCAGTGGGTTAATGCACACAAACTTTAAGACTTTATTTTCTATATGCCTCTATTTTTTAGTAATTTTAAGGAATATGAAAGTGAACGTTTCAATTGTAGTCGCTCAGACTGCAAGCGGAATTTTTGAAGTGCTACTTTTTGGGGCCGATCATTTTACTTTCTGTCTTTTAATCTTGTAATCTGAGGGGAGAATATTTTATTCTAGAAGCAAATTTTACCGCCACCAAAAATTTGAATCCAATCCTCTGTGCACATACTGATATCATTTAAGCATTAGTTCTCCATTACTTTGACCTGTCAACTAATATTTGACTCTCAAAAGCAGAAAAATTTACAATGTGCTTTCAATATCATATTTTAAATATTGCTGTAGCAGTATTTATTTAAATATTGCTGTAGCAGTATTTATTTAAATATTGCTGTAGCAGTATTTATTTAAATATTGCTGTAGCAGTATTTATTTAAATACTGATGCAGCAGTAGCAGTATTGGTGTAAATATCTCAATTCCAAAGATTGATCAGATTTCTTTTCGTGAAAGAAAAAAAAAACAAGTTCCAAGCACAGTCGCACTGGTGAATAATTTGTTCGGAATAAATTATTTTTACTTGAAATTTTCAATTTTCTCTACACCTTAATTGATGCTTTAAATAAACCATTATTGAAGCCACTCAGTATACACTAAAGTACATGCAATACATTGAGTCCAATTGAGTCATAACGATTTCGCAAAGTTCAAGAGAATATGTACAATCACTAATGATGATATTAGAACCACTGAAAAATCGAGTTTTCCTCCCATAGATTAATGTGCAAGGGTGTAGCACTCCAAACAGAGCAAGAGCCAAAAATGCAAATTTGTCCTTTAAATCATAATGTGTGAGCAGAGTAGACTTCATTCACAAATTTGCAGAACCTCAAAAACTTCCTTTCATCCTGAATGGGTAGAACACAGAAAAGTATTCTCCCCTCCACAGTAATCTCTGCTTCAAATTATTAGTTCCTCAGATGTGCTACATTTTATGCAGTCAAGTAATGATGAACAGCAAAAAGTTAAATTAATATTTTGTAGTTTCCATGAGGTCAATAACAAAAAACTAAAAAACAATAACAGTGAGGAACCTACAGTTTCATCCATATAATAAAATATTACTTCCCTCTGACTAAAATATTCTTATTCTGACATGATAGATACTGTTAAGGAGTTAGTGATTTTAGTCTCAGTCCCAATGATTTTCTTCCGCACAAAAGGTCTGTCGATCAGTTTGAGACTCAAAGCTTTGAAAGAAGTTGAGCTTGTTTAATAAATAAATAAATAAAAAAATTCATACTTCTTCCAGTTCAATATTTTTAAGGTGCTTTTTATTAAGTTGTGGAAAAGGTTTAGAATTACGGTTGACTGAATCTGTTTGCATTTGGTTTATGAAAATGTCAAGTTTATTTCTGTTGAAGTAACAGTTGCAATCCATTACACTAGAGACATGCCCTCCACTTTCATCTCTTTTCCTCATAAATAATCAAAAATATCTTTCTCTCCTCCTTTAAAAATGATGCAAAAGTTTGTCTTAATTGGATTTGTCTATAGATCAAACTCCAATTGATTCAAACATCTTCCCTCCTCTCACTTGCATTGCTTAGTAGTCCCCAAGTTCCAAGAAATCATAGGACTAGGCTCTAATGTCGGTTTTGGTCCCCTTTAAATTAGGTCAACATATTGTTGTAACTTGGCCAAAAATCATACAAGTTCTAAACGTAACTAACACTTAATGGAAAGTTGAGCTTCTTTAAAGACTTGTTTATGGTGAATCTTCAGTAATGGAAACCATAAATCAAAATTAGTCAGTAAAGTTCACTGCTGTGGAACTAAACTCACCATTACCCTAATTTCTCATTCTCCAAAGTTTTTGGTTTGCTGTCATGTCTTGTTGAGACCTTTAATTTCGAAGGCACAATTTANTCTTTTCCTCATAAATAATCAAAAATATCTTTCTCTCCTCCTTTAAAAATGATGCAAAAGTTTGTCTTAATTGGATTTGTCTATAGATCAAACTCCAATTGATTCAAACATCTTCCCTCCTCTCACTTGCATTGCTTAGTAGTCCCCAAGTTCCAAGAAATCATAGGACTAGGCTCTAATGTCGGTTTTGGTCCCCTTTAAATTAGGTCAACATATTGTTGTAACTTGTCCAAAAATCATACAAGTTCTAAACGTAACTAACTCTTAATGGAAAGTTGAGCTTCTTTAAAGACTTGTTTATGGTGAATCTTCAGTAATGGAAACCATAAATCAAAATTAGTCAGTGAAGTTCACTGCTGTGGAACTAAACTCACCATTACCCTAATTTCTCACTCTCCAAAGTTTTTGGTTTGCTGTCATGTCTTGTTGAGACCTTTAATTTCGAAGGCACAATTTACTCTGTATGGAAGTACTCGCATTACCTGCAAACGTGTTGTTCAAACTATTTGTAAGGACCGATGATGGCTGAGAATCAAATTTGTTTTTGACACCAGGTTTAGAAGTGCCTTAATAGTATGAGCGAATTCTTGGAAAAGAGCCGTAGTTTTTGCATTTTCAGTCCCTCTTAACTGCTTTTTTAAGTCTAAGAATTATTTGTTAATAGTTTTTCAGTGGGCTGAAATCTGATCAGATGTTGCCTGATTGTCAAGGTTGAAAATTTGGATTGTTTGACTGAAATTTTGTAAGACGTTTAGATCTTCGAAATTTGTTGAGGTTTGGAAGGAAATAATGTAAGTGCAAGTGGAATATTCAATGTTTGAATGGAAAAAGAATGTCAACTTTCAAGTCTTTAAACGAATTACCTGGGATGGACCATTAGTCAAGATGCGAATTCTAGTAATATGATGTATGTTTTCTCATCAAAATATCTTTTAGAACACACTTAGTGCAACAAAAATTATTGAAAGTGATTTTCAACCAAGGTATTAACTTTTTTCGATGCATAAAATTAAGCTTCCAGCTCATGAAAAAAAGCTTCATCTTGCACACTGAACGTAGCCAAAATAGTCTCTGCAGTATGAAATTATGGCTTCCTTAAACTCAACTATTCAGCTCATAATCAGTTGCAGCATATTGTTTCTATTTTTTAACAACACACGCAGGTAAAGAACGCTGCTCAACTATAAAGCCTGCCAAAACTGCTGTAGTGCGCGATTTGGATCTTGTAGACTCTAATTTTTCTTGTGAGCGGGAAATTCAAATATTTTGTATCCAACGCTAACTAACACAAACCATATCTTGGTTATGAGTTTATTTCAGTGATATTCATCGCAGGAATCACATTCTACGTGAAATTTTGAAGAAGTAATAAGTAACAGAATGTTTCAATTCGTACCTTGTCCAATGGTCCACTAGAAAGAGATGAAGTGTAAGGAGCCGTTCTTAAATTCCTAATTTTTGGAATCCAAATTTTAAGCCCACTGTAAGATCTCTGCTGCTTTTTTCCCCTGCGGTTCTGCTTTCTCCAGCCTGCAAGCTCTTGACTAGTTCTTTACGTCTCAACATTTATTAATTTAAAGGATCTATTTTTCTGTCGCATGAATATTTTTATTTTTATCATTCTATAAAGTTGTTATTTTAATGTGTAATTACTACCTTCCTAGTCATGTGTTTATCCTCCGGAAAACATAATGTGAAATGATTATCGGATAGTTATTCAAGAAATGAATCTGACTATAGTGTAGCGATTTAATTATTTTTACTCCAAAAAAAATTGACATGTTTGTGAAAAGAGGAAAGAATAGTAGCATTAAGTAAAGAAAGTTTAATGTTTAAAGTTTTTTATTGTTCATGCTTTTATTCATTCTTCCATTGCAAATATTTTTCATAAAATATGTGTTCTGCATTAAAAGGCATTCAGAGTTGTAAAGAATACATAATCTCTCTTATCAGAGCATATGTAACTATTAGTTAATTCTTTAACTGGGTCAGGGAAAAAAAATTATGCATCCTGACTTAATTTTTAAGTTGTAAGGCAGTCTTCTTCACAGTAATTCTGTTTTCTCCTTGTGAGTACCTTGAATTTCTCTCGTCATAAAATATTTAGTCTGATTGCATTGCATTCTCTGCAAAAACAGTTGTGTAAACGTCAAGTTTAGTATAGACTTGTTTAAGCAAAATAAAATAAACATTTCAAAATCTAATTGGTTTTTGCACTGCTTCCTCTATATTTTTAATAATTCACAATTTTTTTTTAACTTCCCAAGAACCTAATTTTTCACTCATCTTTTGTTTTAAGAGGTATAGCACATCATTTTTAACAGGCAACGTCCCTGAAATGTTGTGGCTCTTAGATATTTGTAAAACACTTAGCTTTTACTTTCATTAAAATGAAGCTTGCTGTAGTTTCAATTCATAGGTGCATATTTCGAAATTGGCTTTGGCAACTACAAAATCTGATCAATGAATGGAGACCTCATAGCTAAAATCGTGGTTTGTCCTAAATGGTGAGGTTCAAATTGAGCACCCTTTTAACTCTACATGATGAGGATTGATGAATTGTGGTCATTTTAAGGAAAACTCAGGTTAAAAGAAAAAAAAGGAAGGCGAAAGTTTTTAAAAAGTTTGTATTTTGTTCTGCAGGAAAGGAAAATGCAGTTTGTGGAGTGCTTGATAGACAAGACATTTATCTGTTAATTTTTTCACCTATTAAAACGTATTTTTGCTCCTCTTTTACCTTAATCTCAAAAAATTAGGAATGCTCTTTTCTCTTGATGGAAGTTTTAAATGCTCAATTCTTTTCGTTAAAAAAATAATAATTGCTCATCACGGAGGTCACAAGAGACAACGATTTCATTTAATGCCACAAAAATCTAATAAATGAAAAAAAAAATTAAATTTATCTCAAGAAGAAAAATCACCTGCGAAGTCAAAATTTTGATGGTGCAAGTGAGTTTCTTTGCTCTTTTGAACATATCAAAAGTCGAAAAATGCGTAACTCAGATTGTGTTATTGTAAGCCTCTGCTCTTTTTTTATTTTCTTAGAGGAAAACTGATGAAGCATTTATATTGAAATTTTCTGTGAATTTTCTCCACTCATTTAAATAATCCATAAAATTGCAAGGAAAATATTAATCAGTTTTCCTTGAAAATGAAATAGAAGCAGATTTTAAACGTTACGATGAAGATGAGCATTGTTCACTTTTACAATACTTTATTCAGTAACTTATGCAGTTTTTGCTGCCCACCACATACTCAAGAAGAGAATTTTTTCCTTTTTCAACATTTTCAGTACCATTGAGTTTCTCTCTTTCTTTAATTCACAACAGCAAATTGCCTGACAAGAAATTCTCCATGCAGAGTTTTTCCTCGCCGACCCCCCCCCCCCCCCCCCCCCCCCCCNGGTCTAACTACCCCCAGACTAAATGAAATAAGAGTGTAATTTTCATCTGAGGAATAATAGATAGCTCCACCAACATCGTTTCTCAATCACTTATTTATACATGATATTAACTGATTAGTGGTTGACCTTGAGGTTCCAAAGTCTTCCTAGTGACATCTGTTTGAGCTCACTACTGTTGCTTGATTTCTCATGCTCATTTCTCTTTGATTTCCTGTTTCGCTGAGTAAACTTCTCTCCCTAGATGACATAGTACCTAATCTTATCTGTTCCACAGATAGTGCTTCCAAAGATGGATCATGCTTTTTGTGCGACTGTACGGTTGTTCTCTTTCGGTTGTGTTTAGAATTTAAAAAGACTCTGTTTTTGTGATTATTTAAATGAGCTTTTTCTACTTTCCTGAAATGGGAGATTCCGATTTGAAAAGAAAGGTAAATATTATTTACACAAGTAATTTTTTTTTCTTTGTCAAAGCATTAAATCTTCTTACAGGTGTTACCCTCTCCCCTCTCTCTAGATTCAATTTTTCACAAAATATTATTTTACCTAAAACTTCATCATAAATTTATGGAGTTGCTTTTGGGATACTTCCAATGTTTTGTTCTTGCAACATAAAAATATCTGTTTACTTACATATGTAGAATGCCATTAATGCATCGCATGGCGCCCTTTTGCAAATTTTTGGATCTCCCTCCCCCTCTGCCACCTTTACCAACATAAAGTTCTTTTTTGTGCTAAAGTCTCTGCAATGATACATGTAACATTGATCTAAACTAATCTAATGCTATCAGACAACCAACGGCTAATTAACACCCCCCCCCTCCTTCTGTAGTATTTTACTGTATAAAGTTGAATCACATTTAATTTGAAAATCACGTCTTTCCCCAGTTTTTAATCCTTCCCTCCCAATGCAATTTTCTGGCCCACCCGAAAAAATTACAGTCAACTTGGAGGGCATTCTTTATTCCCCTTTACTTGTCAATAAGACTTTTTTTTTATTAAAAATTTCAGTTTTTCTCAGATGGCTTCCTAGTTATAGAGGATTTTTTCAATGATGAAGAGGTGACTGAACTCAAGAAAGCAGGGCTTGAATTGACACAAAATGCATTATCGGAATCGAAGAAGACTGTTTTCAACACAATAAATTTGGAACAGGTGAGTACTTAGAGATTTCAGTTATCTAGTGACTTGACTCTTGACTGAAAGTTATATGCAGCTAGTTATTTGGCACCGATGAAAAAAATATTCGGAGGATTAAGCACATGTGTAGGTATAAAAAATATTGGACCAAATTTTGCTCACATATCTTGCAAAATGTATATGGCTAATATTTCAGCTAATATTTTTCATGTTTTCCTGGTACCAAAATATTCCTAATAAAAAAATATTTGACCACAGTCAGGGGAAAATGTTATAATTTCCTCACTTATTTTCTTTTGCATTTGTAATGTGGCTCCATACGATACCATCCGATTACTGCCTGTGCTAAGGAGGAACGCCATATGAACATTCGAGCATTGCCCTGATATTCTTGGAGGGATCATGATAATAAGAGATAAAAAAATCTGTTTCAGAACAAGGAAACCTACTTCCTTGAGAGCAGCGACAAAATAAGTTACTTCTTTGAGGAGGGAGCTCTCGGAGAAAATGGTGAACTCCTCGTTGATGTTTCAAAATCACTGAATAAAGTGGCTCATGCTCTTCATTGGCTTCATCCAATCTTCAGGCAGGCCACTTTCCATCCGAAGGTCAAACAGCTGAGCTCTGAAATAGGACTCGTCGAGCCTCGAGTGGTCCAGAGTATGTACATCTACAAAAATCCTGGACTTGGCAGCGAAGGTGTGTTCCTTAAAATTAAAACTTTCCCATCACTTCCTCATACTTTTTTTTTTTTTTAACTCATTTGCCTGGAAATATATTGCTATGTTGGACGTAAATCTTTATCATAGCGTTTTGGATGAGAATTAACTGGTCGATTTCTTTTTAGTGATATCTCATCAGGACGCCACCTATCTGTACACAGAACCGCAACAGCTTTATGGCTTTTGGTTTCCATTGGAGGATGCAACGATTGAAAATGGGTGTTTATGGTTCATACCTGGATCTCACAAAAGTGGAGTCCACAGGCGGTACATACGAAATCCTGACAAGTCCTCTAATGAACTCCTGATTAATGACAAACCAACACCACACTATCCTGCATCCGCTTTCAGAGCTGTGCCAGTCAAGAAAGGTATGAATAATGACTCCCTTACCTACGTTATTTCAACTGGAGTGTATGTCTTTGGTCTCATTTTAAAAAACCATGGGTTTCTCCAATTCTGGGGTTTGTCCTAGTATAGTGCGGATTTTCTCTACTGATGAAAATGGAGGAGCCTGGGCAAATAACTACCTTTTAAAAATGAACCCTTTCTGAGAAAAACACATTTTAAGGTTTTATTCTAATGTATATTTTATTCTGTGTATGAATCCTGCTGCGGTGTGTGAGTGATTTAATTATTTCTTGAAGGACACTGGTACATATTCTGATGAATAGTTGGTTCTCACTATAATATATTGAATCTAAAAAATCGTTTTACAAGGACCTAACAGTATTTCTAGACATGATATGAGGTACGAATTAGGGAAATCCTACAAACATGAAAAAATTAAAAAATTCCCGCACTCTCCACACCAAACAAAAGGAATGGAGGAATAGACTACCTAAAACTTTCCTTATCCCCCTAGGTTTACAGAGAAATATCAAAATGCCCAAAACTTTGTTAATTTTTGTAAGAATGTTACTTGAAATGCAGCATGTTGCAGGGACGGATTTACAATTTTGCCACCCTAAGCTAACAGCAGTTTGCTGCCCCTAGATTCCAAGAAAGCTTATTTTGAAGAGTTGAAAAGCAAAAAAAAGTAATTACTTTTGAAATTTGCAGCGAATCTATAGTTTGCTGTCCTCAAACATTTACCTCTATGGCAGCCCATGTGGTTACTCTTAAATCCGGCCCTAGTTGTAAAGTTGTATGACCCTGAGCCAGCTCAGGAGTGATGCTAAGAAAAGAAAATCCCTTGGATTAGCTATCATTGGAAAAAGTTTTCAGTGCGTGTGCAAGCAGGTCCTCTTCTGCCCATCGTGTGAGAGATCTAGCTAAACTCAGAACAAAGGGCTTTTTGAATTCTAACCCCTGTATTAATATTCCAGGGATGATTTAGTGTAAATCGTGATACTGATTGATCAAACCACCATTTAAAGTATGAAGTTTTACATTTTTCCTGCGCCAACGTATTTGGTTTTTGAAGACTTAAATTGTTCTTTCCAGGAGCATGCGTCTTGATTCACGGCCAAGTTGTCCACCGAAGCGAACACAACCGATCGGATAAATCTCGACACGCATATACATTCCACATTCACGATGCACATCAGAGTCAGTGGTCGCCAGAAAACTGGCTACAGATAGATAATGAGTTTCCTCTCCTATATGCCAATTAAATAGACTTAAAGGATGTACCACCCGCAATTTGGAGGATATGTACGGAAAGAAATGTCTTCCGCCTTCTTTTAAGTATACAGTATTCTTTAAAGTAAAGTACCATGAGTCCATGAGCCTAATTGTAAGGTCCTCACAAACAAAGAAATTTATGATGATGAAAAAGCACTGATCTTTACAGCTCAATGGGAAAAGAATCAAACCCTGTCAACAAACTTTTGAGTCACTTCCTTTTTCTTCTCAAGTATATTTCAGACTCATGAAAATTCAAATGCTATTTGAGGACAGAGAATCTACTGAAAGTTAGTAAAAATTTAGGCTAAGAAAATGCTATCTTTGGCCACCTGCCAGGAAATTTTTATTGATTTTACGTGAATTCACTGAGGCCGATAAGTTGGATAGCAAGTTCATATGATTAAAACCCCTCGAGGAGGAGGTTGTAGGAACAGGACTGTTAGAAAATAAGAAAAGTGATCGTAACTGTACATACAAAATGTATTATAAAACAAAATAAAAAAAAACTCACTTCTACAGATTAAAATTAGAAATCGTTCACTCTTCCCCACTTCAGCCTTTCTTTCAATTTCTCTCTAAACAACCAGCTGGGGTCTCTGTCCGGGTCCTCCCTGTGATACCTGTAAGCACCTGGGTATTTGAGAACATACTTCGGGGGCTCGAAGGGATGTACTTTCTTCATCCTTCGCAGGAAATACTCCTTGGCTATCTGTTTTGGATCTCTGTACTTGTCTAAGTACCTGAGAAGGAAAACAAATAATAATTATAAACGTGAAATTAAACATGTTGAAAAACAAAAAAACACCCTCAAAAAAATTTTGCGAAGTAATTTGAAATTGATTAAAAATGAGATAGATCTCTTTGGTAAGAAAATTTGAAAAACTGGTAAAACTGCACACTTCTGTAAACTTGCTTCAGTTTCAGCCAAAAGGTCTACAAGGCAAGAACATACAAAAATTGAGAGAAGTCTAGGAAAAAATTGGTAACCATAAAAACTGTAGGGAAAAATAGGAGAGAGCCACAAAATTTCATTTAGAAAAGTGGAATTTTTTCCCTTTTGGCTAAAGTTTTCCTACCTTTGAGTTCAGGATTATTCGAAACAAGATTTGGAAAAATACCTTTCTCCCAGCTATTTTCTCTTGAAAGAATACAAAGAATTTTCATGCGATTTTAAGACTTAAACCAGAGATTACTTTCCTCTTATGCACGATACTAGATTTCCGACAGAAAAAAAATAACTGTGGAATTTTGGGCACTCTGATCGGGGAATTTGTTTCTTGGCACCAGAAATGTAGAAACTTGTTGACAACTTGACTACAGTTGTGTCACAAACCTAGAGTTTTATAATGAATTATAATGAAAATACTGGAGCTTCCTGCATCCATGCTTGACTCCTGTCAGCTTACAACCGATTTGTGGTTGGATTTTCTGGGGTCTTATTACAGGGTTGCCACAGAATTTAGAAAATAAAATTCCCTGACATTTTCCTGATTTCCCTGACTTATTTTGGCAAAATTCCCTAACAATTGAAGATATGACGGGTGGCTAAGAAAGCATAATTGAAAATAGTTTTCAGGCAAAATTTGTTGTTCGAAACCTCAAACCCATTCTAGAATGCAATAGAGGGTGATCTAATAAATTTACCCTAACATTTTCGTCATCTTCCCTGACATTTCCCAGTTTTCCCTGACTGTGGCAACCCTGCTATTAGAATTTGAAGAGTTCGTTTCCTGGCTCTTGCTTATGACATGCCAGAATAAAGCGGTCAAGTTTCATGAAAAAGTTTTATCTTTTTTTTTTTAAAAAAAAAAAAACCTGATTAGCAGAGAGAATGAAGCTACTCACAGGTTGAAGGGCTCTCTTAAAGGCCACCATGTCTGCGGTTTGATATACTCAACAGGGTAATCATACTCAAAGATTGGTTCCTTGACATTTAAATCGTCATGGAAGAACTTGGAGACACTTCCATCCCAATCTGACTGAAAAAATGATAGTCCAGCAGGCGTTATAGAGTCTTGATGCTCATGATAAAAATCATAAGTTGAGAAATCCCGGTCATCAAGATTTAGAGTACTGCAAAATTCAAGAAACGAAATCATTAATACAGCATATTATGTTAGTAGAGCGAAAATGGGTTTTTATTGATAAGTGACCATTATCTTTGGCAGTGTAACAATATGCCTGAGATATTTAAAACCCACTAGGATGTTCCATGGAAAATCCATCTGATAGAATCCAAAGGATGTATTTTTAATCCCAAATGAAGTTATACATTATAGTCATTTCGCCGCTGAGAGTAAAAAAAAGGGGTAATAACATGATTTCAGCCAAGCTTATGAATTCAAATGACAAAAAACAAACTAACTGTTCTCTTAAAATGGAGCCCCATTGTCCTGTTGAATGTGATACATAATATAGTACAGGAAAGAGTACCTGCTCGTTTTCTGGTGTTTGCTAAAATCAATTTCTTTATCTTGCTTGTAGAGAATAAATACCAATCTTTGGTAGCCAGTTCCTTTAGGTGGAAAAGGCCGCAGATAGCTGAAGATTTCTTTGCCTTTGCTGAGGTTGTTTCCTGGAATATTCCCACTGGACAAATAGATAAAAATTATAATTTTGAATGAAGTCAGGGGAAAAGTTTTGAAAAAAGAGATACCTGATGTCAAAGTAGATAATGAGCGTGTCTACATAAAAAATAATATGATATGAAAGAGGATTACATATCTCCACTTGAATGAATGTCAAGATTCATTCAGGACTACCAAAACATAACTCATATTGGTGTTTTGATTAAAATTAAAAAGACTCTTGATTCTATTTGTATTGATAAAATAAACTAAAAATTAAAAATCAAATACGTAAAAATTAGTGGAGGCGTTGGGTGCAGAAAAAGGCACTTTTTGGTTGCGATGTAACAGAACTTTCACTGCTAATTTATATTTTAGGGAGGATACTTTTGAGTGAATTTTCTGAACTTTTTGTTCTAAAGCGTTGTAATATCATACAAAATATTCAGTTGAAGTTTCAGCAAGTTACATGAATTTGCTTTGATCATAATAGATGAAAAAATAGCAGAGACTTTGAGGCACTGCAACTGAGAAGCGCTCTTTCTGCACCCAGCACTTTGATTTAGATCAACCATATACAACTTTAGGATTCATCCGTTATTTTTTATTTTTTTTTAAAAAAAAGAAGAAAAAAAACTCAAAAATAATGCCTTACTTGGTAAAGGACAAAGTTAAAAATCACGGATACTGCAATGATCCGGAAATCTACCAAATGATCCTGAAAGAAAATCGGGAAAAAAAGGGGGGTCCTCCGGGAAAGTGACGATAGCAAGGGATAAATCCCTCGGATCAAGCCACCAATGCGAGAGTAAGGGAGAAAAAACGGAGAGGGGTGTCAAGAATGTCACGCGTTCTAGCTGATGAAGACGAGATCTTTTAATTATCGCAGGTGATACAGCTCAAATGCATCGCGACGAGAAAAAATCATTAAAGAGAAAAAAGTTCATCCATTGACTCAGACTATGTAGATCCTTGGGTTTGAGCGTGGCATCCTATCACGTCCACGCACCGAGTCACTTTGACATCTGAAACAATACTGAAAACTAGTCTGAACTCCTAGCGCTCTGCTCTGCTACCTTCCTCTTGTTTTCCTCTACTTTTGAGCGTACGCACCTCCTGACCATTCTGATTCCGCACTGCAATCGTCATCCAGCGAACTTGACCGGTCATTTCCGATCATAATTGATCTTGATAACGGAAACTTTCGCATCTCCTTACGATACATCTGGTTACTTCATTTCCACAAACAAGCAGGCTATCAAATAATTAATATTTTTTTCAACATCATTTGACTTAATGTTCCTCACTGCATTGAAATGGGACATGAAGGGGTATAATATTGTTTCTGAAGTATTACACATTGATCGTGAGATCATTGATGAGCAGGATAACAAAAACATACTCACATGAACCAATGAACGTATTCTGAGTCTGTTTTGGACAGGTGGCCGTCAGGATTCGTTAGAAGAAGTGTCCATAAAGAGTTAGGATCAGATTTATAATCAACTGAGGGTGCTGACCCAGCCTGAGAATAGATGAACAAACACTTGATGATCAGGCACTACATTGAACTTATTAAGTTCCTCGTTGTGGTAGTTTTGAGAAGTATACAAAATAACCTATGTCTCTGCAAAACTTCTAGAGGCAGGATGAAGACTATACTCTCTCAGGCAAAGACTCTGATCATTCTTTGAAGATGCAGCTTTAAAGCACCTTCACTTTCAAAACTCTTCAAATACTCTTTTTGTGTTCGAAAATCCCTACTCCTTTAACAGTTTAGGAAGGATTTTGAGTCAAAAAGGGGTCAAGAAGTGTCTTAAAATGGCAGTCTAAAAGTATGAGAGAGATTATTAAATAATGCCCGTTTTAGACCTAAAGAACTAAAATTTCCAACAAGGTGTTGGTGATTTTAAAATTTGAACAAACAAAAAGCTTTGTTTGTATTGAAATTTCCATTGACTTCAAAGATTATTTGAAGAAAGTTTTTACACAATAGACCATCTGCTATGGATGCCTATTGTACATTAACTCCTTCCACATAAATACATGAGTCTATTTCTTCGACAAAATTTTGACGAAAAATTTCTGATTTATTTGGGCTAAAAAACGTCTAATTATGATGCAACTTTACACTCTTTGTGGGCACAAAGGTGAACAAAATTGCTCTTAACTGTTTTTCTTAAGAAATTGAATTCCAAGATTTCAACTCCAACTTCAAAAAATGATCACCAGAGGAATTCACCTCTGTCCTAAGGGACGGAGACCCATTGACTTACAGCCACCAGCTTTAAGCTGTTAGTCGACTTGATATGTACGATGTTTAGCATACTTGTCAATGTTTAAAGTTATGAGTAGGGTGAGCAACCTAAAACTTATTTTCAACAGCAGTTTATCACTTTGTCACTGTATATTATTGATATTGTGCAGTTGTGGATTGACCTTAAATTTTCCTGATATTTGCTCATTTTATGATTGTAGTAATCAGTGTTTGAAACACACACCAGCAAGAAATTGCCTTCAGCCGCTAAGAAATTGAACTAGTACCAAGCCTTGGCGGCTAAGAAAATCGTTGATAAACTCCGTTTTGGGGGTTTTTTGGGATATTCCAGACTTGCGGCATTTTAAAAGGGCAACTTTTCATTTTGGTCCCAAAGAAAAAATTTGAAAGCCAGATGACTGCTAGGACTTCTTGCCGAGTTTCAAACACTGAAGTGATTTTGATGGCTATTAATTAAAAACATAAAGGCGCAAGAACTTAACTTTTTTCTGATTATGAATGCTTAATACCTCTATTTTTAACTGCATGGAATGAATTTTAGGATTATTCAAAATCGTTCAAAGTTCCTAATTATTGCATGTTATAGCTAAAATTAATAAATAAGTAAATAGGTTAGGATCCCCTTTACCACAGATAGTCTCAAATTAAAAATAGGCAGCAATTGGCACTGGATAATGCTTTAGTATCTCTTTTCAACACTCACACGCACCTTCTGTCCCATTTGCGGGGAGTAGCAGATAAAAAAAAAAGGCAACTACCTCTTCAGGTTTGATGATGTTCCCTTTGTGCACAGGAATTTTCAGTTCATTGTGAGTAAAATCAATATTGAGATTGACTATAGGATGGAAATAAGCATCTCCAAAGAGGTGTTCGAAAATACCGTAATGGTCAGCAATCGTCCTGATCTGGTTGACCGCATACTGATCGATCCATTCTTCATGCACCTCTTCAGGTGATATGTTCACTGGAGACAAGAGAGAAGAATATAAGAAATTAAAAACTAATTAATGTGATCAGTTTATTGAAATTTAGTGCAGCACAAATTGACTGTGATCATTGGTGACCATGCAAGGGAAGATTGACCGCAATCTGAAGAGGTATTCTCAATGACACTATTTTTGTCGAGTTGAATCATAAAATCGAATTTTAGAGATTTTGGCAAAAAACTATTCAGGGTCCTGAACATTAAAGATTGAGGGGTTCAATAAACCCTTGTGTTGATTGAGAGCATAAAAATGCATTTTTATCAGGCAATTCTATACTGTGGACATGACAGTTAATAATTTAAAGTACCCACATTTTTTTTGAAACTGCAAACTTTAAACCACTTTGCCTCCTGTTTGGTTTGACACTTCTTGTCCCAAAATATTAGCTGAACACTCCTCCATGCTATGATTCAGTATCAATGACTCACTTTTGAGTTCTTGCATTCTGACATCCTTTACCTCAAGGACCGTTACATTTGATTTAACCCATTTGCCTTATTTGACGAATATACTCGTCAGCATGCGCCTGGACATGGCTCAGTTGACAAATTAATTCGGGTCATCTGTTGCTACGCGATTGTTTTGGTCGTGCTTCTTTCGTTTTTCCAATAGATGGCATCTCAGGCAAAGCAACACCAATAGATGGCTCCATTTAATTCGTCAGCTGAGATATTTCCAAGGCATGTGCTGGCAAGTATACTCGTCAAATGTGGCGAATGGGTTAAATAGGGCAGAAAAATTCAGCACACCCCCTTGACCTCAGGAGCATAGTTTTCTGCCTTCAAAAATTTGCATTTTCCCAGTTATGACACTGGGGGCAAAATACTTCAACAAACAGGAGAATCTCCATATTATAATATCAATATCATACCTAAACCCTTACAAAGAAGACCAACTGACGATAGCAGTGTCTCATTTTGACTGAGCTCCATGTATAAAATGTGCTCAAGAGATGAAGCTATGGTCCTTTAAGATATAAGTGCTTGGCACCTTAAAAATTGGCACAACTTTGACCTTGGTTACACCTTTGCATTTCATGCTCCATGATGACTACGTCTGAAATCTTAATGGTACAGAAAACTGGACTTGTCAGTCAAGATTTTTTTACCTTTTTTTTAAAAAAAAAATCAAATGGTGTAACAGGCATGGTTAAAGTTATTTACTGAAATTTAATTTATCTTGTTGGTGCAATCAACAGAGCTTTAAGAAAAAATTGCATACGTCTGAAACAATTCTTCTTTTTTACCAAATGAAAAAAAAAAATAAATTAAACTCACCTTTCCTATCTTTGACTTGCTTTAGGAACTCGGGATCATTCTTACGAGCTTTGATATATTCTTTCATTTTTTCCAATTCCTCTTTCCTGGATGGAGCAACAGCTGCGAACCCGATGTCTACTTTCTGGAATGTATCTTTGGGTCCAAATTCTGAAGATAGGGACACAAATCAAGAAAAAATTAGGTATTGGATTCTTAGGTATGAAGTTTTCACTATATCCTGCAAATGTTGCTGGTAACAAACCTCTAAATAACAAATGAATTGGACCGCGTTACACAGAAAAGAAGCAAGTCGCATCAGCTATTGCCAAATTTAATTGGGCAATTTAATTCTATATGTGAAAACAGATGTGTGGATAGTTCTGCAAATTTCAGTGAATTTTCTACCAAGTACAAAGCAAATTCCTTAAAAGTTTCCAAAAAGTACACACAAAAGTTCTCTTGTAAAAAATTGAATTGCTTCTTTAAATTTTGAGATACCTAGCTTATGTGGCTTGGTTCCTTTCTGCTTAACTCAGTCCAATTAAAGCAGTACGCAACATTTTTTCTATAAAAATTACATTCAGCCAGAGGTGAAAATTTAGTTAGGAAAACATATCGGCATCAATCCTAACTATTCCTGGACATGCAGTCAGGGTCATAAGTATTGTCAAGAGATGGCCATCAGTCCTATCTCTCTCTTAAGCTTGATGCTGAGGGCCTGTGTAATATAATTGATGCCTGCGCTTTGAAGTACAATTCCTGAAGAAACTTGCTACTGGCCCTTGCTGAGTGGGAGGAGACGGTCAGGGAAGACATCTTCAATACGCCGATAATGATTCAGCTAGGGTCAGTAAACTAATCATCTTTCTTGAATTAACTGGCATCTTAGCAAAGTGTAGCTATTATAACTATGTAAGTATGTATGAGCCGCTTTTACAGCGCGCTAGGGCGCTCTGCAACGCCTATTCTCCAAAGGAATCTGTATAGTAGAGATCCTCCGGAAGCTGGCATCTCTACATCTCTTCACGGATGCTCTCTACCCACCGTTTGGCTACCTGGCCCATCCGTCGCCTACCTGGGGGGCCCGACTCCAACACCTTTTTCGGCAACCTGATATCAGCCATTCTCTGCACAGGCCCATACCATACCAATTGCTTGGTCATGATATCATGCACAATCGTCCCCTCAACACCCATTATCTCTCGGACACGTTCTCTCCTCGAGATTCCAGCCGATCTACGCCAGAAATCCATCACGGTCGCCTTGAGCATTTCTTGGGTCCGCTTCGTCAACTGCCACAGGCGATTATAGGCTTGACAACCGAGTTCAAAATCTTTTTTTTGTTAACCTTGGAAATTCTTTGGTCCTAAAGAATCCCATTAAGCATGGCGATGGCTTTCCTTCCATGAAGAATACGGTCCCAAATGGCCTGATACAACTTCCTACCCGAAGTACTATTATATGATAAAGTCTTTAAACCTATCGCCTATTCTGGATGCGCCTTTGTGTGCTACCCAAGGTGCCAGTGCGTTCTGTGCTTGTCTGTTCAGACTATAAAAGTTGAATAGGTGTCTGCTAAGTCTGTTCGACGGGATAGCGGTATCTTCAGCTAGATTGGAAGTTGTTTACTTTTGACTGTCATACACAGTAGACCAATCTATGTCCCTGGGCTTGTCAGCAGCACAGCTTGCAATTGTGCAAGGGTCAATCTTTGATCGCTGCTGGACAACTCCATTGCAGTCACTTACAAGCAGAAAGTAAACAACTTACAACTTACCTGACGATAACTCTGTCTATCAGTTACAGACAAATACAAGAGCTCTACAAAAGGAAACAGAAAATTAGAATAAAAACAGATAAAAATTCATACTTTCCAATTTTTGCTTCAAAGATAGACCTAGATGTGGAGAAACTCCGAGGGACGTCCGTCTGAATCGAACAGGCTGCCTCAAAAGGATGTTGATTTTTCCCGAAAATAATTTACTGACACTCATGATGGCGATTACAGCGTTAAAACTATAAACTTTAAAAGGAACCTGGAATTCTGATATCAGTTAGATTTAAACAAGTGCGGCATAGAAACTTGAAGAGTTACTGTGGGTGCTTCGGGGCTTCAGGGGTGAACAAATAGAAGGTGGCATGGCACTTGCACATTCGGTATTAAAGTGAAGAAAAGTAACATTGTGTGTTTCTCAGTGGGTGCAATAGGATAGCGAAATTACGTTGGGGATAAACATGTTGTCTATGAGAAAAAGTAATAGACGCACTGAATAATTGAAATTGAAATGCACAACGATGAACGATTTTAGGTTAGGTAGGTTACGAGATACGAGATGAAGCGAACCGGAAAAGGTGATAAAATTAGAAAAGGGAATTTTCAGGTATTTTGGACCGGACTGACCGGACCGGAAATGGCAGAAACTAACCTAAAACTTAAACGTTTGTTTGCAAACAATGTCGCTTTAGCCCGTTCTGTAAAATTTATCTAATTTCTCTGTGTGTTTTAAAAAATTAGACCAACTTGTAAGTTTTTAAGTACCTTCTCCTAAGTGCAATCATGTCTGAAGAAAAGAAAAAGATTTCTTTCGGTTTCAGCAAGTTGGTGAAAAAGCCGAACGTAATACCTGCTGCTCCGAAACCAGCGGAGACAGTCGAATTTATAAAGTGTGTTGAAGATAACAATATTCAAGTGTTAAATGAAGTCATTAAAGAAGAAGAAAAAGAACTAGTGATCCCCATGAAGCCGTCTTCACGATCATCCGATTCAAAACCCAAGGTGACAGATTCCACGAACAATACGGTGCCTGATAGTACAAAGCCGGAATCATTGGATGAATTGGCTGCCAAAGAACTCGTTGCTGAGGCTAACAGGATTGAAAAAGAAGAAGAAGAAGCAAGTACATTTGCAGTACCTTTGGTGTCAAATCCGCCTACTGGAGAGAAAGAATCAACTTTAGAAGACTATGAGAGCATTCCAATAGAGAAGTATGGTCTCGCTATGCTCCGAGGAATGGGCTGGGAACCTGGCAAAGGAATTGGTAAGAATGCCAAAATTGCTCCTCCAGTAAGTCAGGTTTTAAGACCGAAAGGTATGGGCCTAGGGGCTGACAAAGCAGTCAAAGGTACTAGAGTTGTTGACAGTGAAAGCAAAGAACTGAAATTGTGTAATGGTTCCTGTGTAAGGATTCTTAGTGGATCAAATAAAGATAGCTATGGTAAAGTTGAAGGGTTTATTGAAGAGTCTGGTAGAGTGATTGTCAAACTTGCGAGAGGTGGGAACACAGTTATTGTAGGTGAGTTTACTGTCTCCGTCGTAACGCCTGAGGAGTATTCTAAAAATTCAAAAGTTTTAAATATTGCAAAGTATGAAGAGTACAAATCAAATGAAAAAGCAAATGAAGATAGCGATGAGGTTCCAGATAGAAATAGTAGTAGTCAGTATCGAAGTTCTAAAAGTAGTAAATCTCACCGTGAGAATGGAAGTAGTCAAAGTGATAATCGATATGGTTCTGGAAATGATCGACATAGTTCTAGAGATGATCGTCATAGTTCGAGAGATGACAGACATAGTTCTAGAGATGAGCGACATAGTTCAAGAGATGATTCTGAAAGGTCCTCTGACAGAAGTTCGTCTAGGAAAGACCATGAATCGAAGAGAAATTCAGATTATCGGTCAGATAGAGATAGTCATCATCACAGGTCTTCATCCAAAAAACATAAAAGAGACAGGTCGCCCAGAAGACATTAACATCACCCCACCAAATGCGTAATGTTATTGGAAAATATTGTGGGGTATTTTTGGGGCGTTGAATATTTAGAGTTTGAGATTTTATCTGTTGTTTTGATCTCTTAGGCCTATTAAAAAAAGGCCCTCCAAGACTGACGTTGCCAATTTCTTTACCAAATTTACTCCCTAAATAATGGGTACTCTTTATAGTAGATACAAACAGATCCAACCTACTTATAAGAATGACATTCTTGGGTGGTCAGAAAAGGGATCATCTAGCGCTGGCTGACTCCCCCCAGTCCTAGACTGGACTTATCTCGGCACTATGTACTTTTTTCATGTATTTGACATCCCTATTCCTTGCTAACTTGATCTTTGAGCATTGGTAGTGAAAAATTTGCTGACTATTTTTTCCATTCGTAAGAAGCCTTTACTTATCTTCGCCGTTTCGAATTCAACTTCATGTAAGTAATGATTAAATATAAATATAATAATTCCAGTTGAGTATTTAAATTAATATTTTCATGAAACCTACATATAAGCCTCTTCAAAGCTTGTCATTCAAAAGTATCTAGGTATTATACTACCTGAAAATGTTGATGCATTTCATCAGCACAGTGCAGAAAGCTAAATTTGAATCCGTGAAAGTAAAACCAGTTTTACAAATGTCGAATAATTAGTCAGGAAATTTTCTTATACACATATAGGCTAGGTTGAATATGGGCACCCTGAGATAAACAGTTTTGATGAAGAAACAAAAGAGCAGTTTGGAGTGAGGCCAATATTAGACCGCAATTCCTGGCCAGCATCAGACATTGCCATTTTCTGTTTGCCCAAAAATGCCCATGGTAAGTAATCTGTTTGCCCAAACTATAGGGACAGTTGCAAAGCCAGGGACTTCAAATCTGCTTTGCCCGAATCAACTTGAAATAGCATTTTTGGGGAAGCAAATCAGAATTTTAGTTGATCTCTGTTAAAAATTATGCCGGTTAAAATGGCCCTTTGACCACTGCTGACTAAGGGGATAATTTTGATCTATATCTGTCAGCAGAGTAATGGGAAATTGTTGAAGGCCCAAATACTCTCAAGGCCGAAAATTTTATTTGTGATTACATGTAGGTATGGCCTTCATCCAGAAAAACAGCGGATGTTGACATCCGCTTTTTTTACAAGTAGCGCTTCATTTGTTAATATATTCACTTGTTGGCTAGTTTAGTAACATGTGACATGACTTTTTTTTATTTCAATGGCATGTCAAACCAAGTTGACCTGTCTTGTTGAAAGCAGTAAAATTTGTGAACTCTTGCTTCTCCAGCATTTGTCCACTACTCTTAAGAATTCAGTTCTCAAAAAGGAATAAGTATGAAACATTTAATTAAGAATTTCTGCTCTTATGCTGAGTTTAGCTGAAATTTTGAACAATCATACATTTTGTGAGAGTTGCCGACCTGTGGCCAACTCAGGACTCTCAATCTCAATTCTGTATTTCTCTAAATATAAAGCTTTGCTCTGTCCGGATACCTATGGTAATTTTGACCTCACAAAGTTTTATTCCTTAGAATTACAGTGAATCAAGGTATACTTCAACAGGTACACTTATTTCCAGCTCGATTCTATTCATAACACTTTTTATCAGTTTCCCTGACTTTATTCACAAAAATTAAACTCATTGGCAAAGAAAACTTATTTTATACATGTATTTAGTCACTTTAAAGAACATAGGCAGGTTCAAATTATGAAATGGAATGGAAAAAAGGAGCATGCTTGCATATAAAACAAGCCACCAATACTTGTGCAGTTAATTTTTCCAATTATTTTCCTGCAACATTTTAACTCAAAATTAACACTGTCGGTAATAGATCAAAGTGTTTCATTAATTGAATAGCAGATACCATACTTTTACGTTTTTTTAAAAAAATTGTTTTTATTGATGGCTGAGGTGAAAAAATGGGAAGATATCACCATCCAAATATTCCAAAATATCCAATCAAGTTTCATATTATTATTTCTAATGAATATTCAGTTAAATATCTTCTATAAATTTTCTATGAATATTTTTTAATTAGTAGAGCAAATTTTAAGAAAAACAGTTAGTTATTTTATTTTGTTCAAGAAATGAAGTATCAGCTTTATTGCTTCAGAACTTGCAATGTCACAATTGGGGTTACACTTTTTTTACTTTAGCTTCAATATGCTTTTAGAATATGTAGACACCCACTATTTATAGAATTTTTTCACTCGAATAATTCAAGAGTAAGCTCATGAGATAGTCATGAATAGAAACAAGTCAAAACCTGTGTGAAAACAATGTTAATGGTTTCATTTACACTTAAAAGTATTCCTCATGTAACTTGTCATCGAAAATGCCGAGGATTTTTTTTCTTTTACATTATTTTAAAAATTAAACTTTTCATTAATTGGTGATAAAAAGAAAATAACCTGGTTGGATAGTGCAAATAAACGACTTTGCTCGTGAGTCGTTACTCGTTTGCAGCCAAAGGGCCAAAAGTTTTGTAGCCAATTTTTATTTTTTATTATATTTATTAATTTTTTTCTTTCGAGGGTCCCACTAACAAGATTGGCCCAAACATTTTCTGAGCGAAAAAACCTCGTCGAGCTCAATGCTGGTACGTACAGCAAGATAATCTCCAAATTTACATTGGTTTCAGAGGGATTTCGATGCGAGAATGCAGGCTTTTCGTCATTTCGGGAACAGACTTCACTCTCTTCTTCACCACTTTCTAAGTACTTGATTTCATGCATTGAAATGCTGCGTAGTCATGAATTATGATCATTTCAGAGCCATCAGATCAGACATTTGGCATTAGAAAGTAAACAGAGGTGCGTCGCACAATAGATCGAGTTTGTCAGAGAGGCTGGACATGAAATTTCTTACTTAAACAGCAAATTTTGATGTTTGATTCTTCACAATTTAAATTTTAAGGGGTGGTTTTAAAAGAAAATATCACGAGGAAACCAACGGAACTACTTTTAAAATCTCAAAGTTTTATATGAACGGAGTTATAAGCTTTTAAAGTTTCCAAATTTTTTCCGACCTCACCTATTGACTCGATCCACTGCGCGTCGCCAAAATGACGGCCAGAAATGCGTCCATCATTTTGGCGTGAACCCATCCCTCGATAACTCCCGATCGCAAATGTCTGATGGCATCTGAACTGATCAATTCATGACTGAGCAGTCCCTTTGAGAAAAAAACAATTTTATTACCTACACGAAGTCAAGCAGAAAGTGAAGTTAGTTTCGAAATGACGAAAAGCACGCACATTTTCGCACCAAAATCCTTCTAAACCACTGTAAACTTTTAGAATAACTCACTGCTTGTATCTGAATTGAGCTCCACGAGGTTTTTCTGTTGGGAACATGTATGGGTCAATCTTCTTCGTGGACCCACGAAAGAGAAAAATAAATAAATGTGATAAAAAATAAAAAGTGGCGACAAACCCTCCGGCCCTTAGATGGAAACGACCCTCATGAGACGCATACTGAGAGACTGCTCTGTGAAGCGGGAACCAGGGTTTCGATTTTACGACGCACCAGTAACATCTGTGGTATTACAGCTAATTGAAGGCGCTTCACAGCCGTTCAGAAATGCGTCAGTCACCTGTTGAAAGAATACGCGTGGCGTGCCTCGCTCCTTAAACTTGGCCAAAGTCAATGAAGAATGTTAAATTTTGCCGCTTAGGCAACAAACATAGCTACCGATGAGCGCAAATATATTTATCTGGACTGAGACTCTTCTCATTTAAAGTGTCCTCAAGACCTCTCCTCCTCCACTTTTTTCATTAGGCGCCTATGGTGATTCGGCAAGCTCTCGTGGTCAAGGTGGCGTGCGGTACATCTATCACATCGATGGGGTCAGAAATCTCGGTGGATTTTGCATTTTTAGCCCAAAAAAGGGTCGATAGCCCTTGCGCATGAGCCTAAAGAATCATTCTAAATCGAAAAATTGGCATAATGTGGGGAAGTAAGAGCAGATTTCTGTTTGGAAAAACCGTCGCATTCGATACAAAAGTCGATAACTGTATCGAATGCGAGATTTTTTTCCAAACAGGATTCTGCTTTCATTTTCCTACATTTTGCCAATTTTTTGGTTTACAATGACTCTTTAAGCTCATGTTCAGGGGCTATCATCCTTTTCTTGGCTATAAATTCAAAATCTGCCGAGATTTTTGACGCAATCGATGCGATATATCGCATGCCAGTTCGACCACGTCAGGAAGTTTGACGAACAGAGACAATTGACGAATCACAGTAAAGCAATCTCGTATCAGCTCCCCGCCTTCCGGCCAAAGTATCACGAGTTTCATTTGTGCCTCGGGCTTTGGCACTATGTTGCCAAATCCTTGAAACTTGTTCAATTTTTTTACAAATGAAAAGAATTACCTGAAAATATGTACCAATATTTCTTCTGCCTTTAAGATTAATCCCTGAAAATTTTAAGGAAGTACACTGGAAAAAAAAAACACATTGGATCTGGAGTCCAGACTCTTAAAAACATCGACAAGAAAAAATACTCTTGATTCAATAAGATTTAAGCTTAAATCTTGGTTCTTGATTTAAGCTTAAATCTGATTGAATCAAGAGTCCTTTTTCTTGTCAATGTTTTCAAGAGTCTGGACTCTAGACCCAATGTGTTTTTCCTTCCAGTGTATGTGTCAAAAATTTTAAATTAAAAAACAAAATAATAGGTACTGAGATGACTATATGCAGGATGACATCTAAGCGTAAATAGCGTTGGTGATACTTTGACAAGAAGATGGCTGAGTTAAAAAATGCATGAACTCAGCGCTGGTCGTAAACGATTAGCAGTAAAGTGGGGAAAACGCAAGTACCTACATAAGGTCAGCAGGACCCTTAATGCGGTCAGTAGAGATGAGTAAAATTATATACTGGCTTATCGACACGTCTGTAGGAACGGTAGACCGATAAAAAGCAGGCCAGTACAACTTTTTAGTACAATACTGGTCTATCTGTTTTATATGAGTGTCAAAAAGCCAGAATAATTCGACTGATTTCCACTAGCCATTCATATTTAGCCAGAAGTGTGTAAATTTAGAGGGGATAGAAAGCAAAAAAAAAAAAACTACAAAATTACGTGAAAAGTTCTTTTATATTCTTTCTTTTTACAAAACTCATATCTTCACACATGTCTTTATGGTTTTGACACGGTGGACGTATTATTCAATTGCTCTGAAAACTCTAAGAATTATAATCATGATCTTGTCCATCAATTTGTATGGTCTTCGGCTACGTGTCATGTATGTTATGTCCAGCATCCCTGATGAAAACGTCCGTGATGCGTTTCACTGTCCTGTAAAATCCAGTCAGTCGGGCTGTCTTTGATTTGGAACTGACGTATTTTCGCGTCGATAAAATCACCTGCACCGGGGCATCTTAACTCAACGAATTGGAGGGTTCTTCGAACACGAGACACGGGTGGACCATATCTTGCTGACCAGTTAAGCACAGGATATCTGGTGGCAGAAAACATTAATGAAGAAAGGAGTAAACTTATAAAAAACTGTTAATAACACTAAACAAAAAGATAAATTTAAATATTATTTATGGCTAAAAAAAATATTTGTTCAGTTACAGAACATTTTAACCCCGCTTACAGGAAATTGTCTTTTAGTGAACGAAATTTGTTTTATTTTAATGAAGTTTTTTAAAATTTAAAATTAAAACTTCTTGTCGATGACAAAGTTACATTTTTTAAAAATTAAAACGAATTTCTTTCACTTTGCAACAATTTTCTGAACCAATAATTTTTTTTCAACCATTTTTTTTTAAAATTTTTTTTTCCTGATAAAAAAAGTATTGGAACTTTCTTTTGTAAGTGCGTAGTAATAGATAATGTAGAATAACTACGCGAGTGTACCTAATTAAAGAAAATCGGGATTTCGCAACCATAACAAGCATTAATATGGAAATAGAGCAAAGGAAAGGACGCGCGTTGATGACGGCGCAGAGATACAACTATTCGTGCTTGATGGATGTCCGCGTTGCATCTGAAAAATTGAAGGCGCGAGGCGTGATCACGCGATGCTCCGTTCCGTGCTGCCAATGAGGTTTCACTCAGACGCGGGAGAAAATTTAAAAGTCCAGTTACACGATCAATTTGATGGCTCAATTTGATCGTGTGACTGGACCTTAAGAAACGATGCCATATTACGTCTCAAATCTTCGGCTGGGTTGACGCTCAGAACTTAGTACTATTGGCTGCACCTTTCAAAGCGAGAAAAATGTTGTTATTCTAGAAAATTGTTATGTTGTTATGTGATTGGTGTAATGCTAAAAAGTTGGTAACGTCGCAGTTCACCTACTAGTCTTGTGTCTGCGACGCATACCGTTTTTGCATGTAGCCATCGACATGTTCATCATAAAGAACTCAATGACCTCTAGAAAACAAGAAACAGGTATTCATCTAATTTGAAGGACTTACCAATGTCAGCCGTGAGGGAGGACCTTGAACGTTGGTACAACGAACTGCCCAAACA